AGAGAAACTATATAGGTCCAGAATGGAAAAATATGTAGATCAAAGAGCAATTAATATTGATATAAATCAAAATGGAGTGATCTTAAAAGCTTAATGATTAAAGTAGCTCAAGAAACTTTAGGGAGAAGGCATAAACGGAGGAATATCAGAGGTCTAAAATTGGGAATGAAGGAATAAAACAAATAATAAAGGCAAAACCGTTAAATAAAATTTTAACAAACTTAATCGATGACAAATAAAATTATAAATACAAATGTGCAAGAGCAAAAAAAAAAAGTGAGAAAATTAATTAGAGAAAGCTGGGATAATTACATAAGCAATATTGAATACAATTTTCATGGTGCTCAGACAATGGTGTACAAGGCTCTGAAACATTTCAACACAGAAGAAAGAGACACTGTACATCTGAATAATATCAGCAAGATTGATTGGAATATTTTACTTCTCTGGGGACAACCCATACAAGTGGAATTATTTTAAGGAATGACTACCAAACTTTTGAACCAATAAATGATATTGACTTTATAGAATATAATGAAAAGGAAAGTAACCTAAATTTGTTCCTTAATTAAAACCCCCCAGGAAGGAATGGAGTAAACATGGAACTTGTAAAATAAGCTCCCTAGGCAATTAAACAACACCTTCTGGATATATTAAACTTGTGCTGGACAACTTACAGCACCCCAAGAGAGTGGAAAGAATCAACAATCATGACAAGGGAGATCGTTCAAATCTGAATAATTATAGGGGGATTAGTTTGCTGAACTCAGCCTGTAAATTATATGCTAAAATAATCACACACCGACTAAATGTAATAAGTGAAGTTAAACTTAAAAGAAGAGCAATCAGGCTTCAGAAAAGGAAGATCTTGCTCAGAGTGTGTTTATATCCTACAGCAGTTATCCAAGAAGAAGAGAATTCAATCTCCCAACATTCATCCTCTTTGTGGATTTTGAAAAAACTTTTGATTCCATTTACAGAGAAAAGCTATGGGATATAATGTATACCAATAGCTATTCTAGCCATCTTATTAAACCATAAAAAATCTTTTTAAAAACACTAAAATAATATAATAAATGACAAGTACAGCTACAAATCTTTTGTCAAATAAGGTTGTTGATTATCACCTACATTGTTTAATGTATAAATAGATTCGACTATAGAAGAGTGGCAAACATCATTACCACCTGGAATAAGTATAGGTAATATGCCGTTCAAGACTATGGAATTTGCAGATGATCAACCATTTATTGCAGATTCTGAAAGTGACTTACAAGTAGGGGCTTACAAATTACAAAAAGTAATGGAGCAATATCTGTTAACAAATCTAAAACCATGGCTTTTGTAAGTCCAGAACATGCCATGTGCGAAATAGTTCTAAATAATAAAAGTTTGGAACAAGTTTGCACCTTTCATTAATTAGGCTGCAGTGTCATAATAGAAGGTACATTATAGAAGGCGATCTTAATGTCAAACAGTAGATTCCAGAGAATGTGTGGAACAATAAGTTATAAAACATTAGGAAATAAAATCCGAAGAGACGCTCAACCAAATTTCTATAAAACGCTTGCCATCCCAATACTAACATATGGATGCAGAAATTCAACGTTAAATAGATCTTCAAAAAGAAAAATTGAAGCTAGTGAAATGAAGTTCTTGCAAAATATTGCTAATTATACTTCACTAGATCATAAAAAAGTGTGGATATAAGACAAGAACTAAATATTTTTAACCTCTTAGAAAGAGTTGAAAAACAGAAACAAAATTGGTACAGCTATATAGTAGGAATGAATGATGTAAGACTCCCAAAACAAATGACATATTATGTACCGGCTGACAGAAGAAGAGTTGGAAGATCAAAGACTCAGTGCATTGATGCTATCAACGTTGAAGGGAATGGGTTCAGGCCTAATCCTTGATGTTGAAGAAGAAGAAGTCTTCAGAAATAGTGAAATTGAAATATTATTTAAAAGTATAAGACTGATTCAATATAATTAAAATTACAGTAAGTTGCAAACAATGAAAAATAGTTTCTTTAAAAAAATAGGACTGTGTTGTTGCTGGGAAAGTTTGTAGTTTTTTCTTAAGTCTTTTGAACAAATAGAAGTTGCGTTATTCCCCAAATTTTGTAAATTTAAAATTAATTTCCTTTTTTCGTATATGCCTTTGCTGGCAAAAGTTGCCTTCAAGTACTTAATTATTACTATAGAATATCTTGTCACAAAGAAGAATTGGCTAGAGCATTTGAAGACCAATTATGAAATGAGTATTGATAAAAAACTATGTACCATGGAGATGGGGATAAATTTGTCCTTGAAATATTGCATATTATGAATTTGTAAACTAAATAAATGTTGTTATTTTATATGAATGTGTATATTAAATAATAAAAAAACCGTTCCTTTTGCAATTAGGCATTAAGCTTTTTGAATAAGAAATTTAGTGTTTTTAATTAGACGTTATAAGCAGGCACCATTTCGACTAACTCTTTTGGTCATCTTCAGGTTTAATGGAGGTTTAATTTACAATATTAGAGTGATTATCAGTTCATTGATTATCATCCTAAAAAACACGAGAATTTTCGCGTGGAACAGTCGCAATGCGGTTTGGATGGACAGTTTCTTAATGTTTTTGATTTGGTTTTTTGCGAGCAATTTTTAGTACCTGTTACCGTTGCTATGGTTTCATTTCCGGCTATTTTGCCACCTTTTCGAAACACCATTAATAGTGAGGTCCATGAGGTATATACTCTCTGGAGGTTCACAAAGATTGCATACACTCTTCCTTTAGGTTTATGTAGGGATATTTTAATTTTATTTAGTACATTTTCGATGGTTTGTGAGGTGAGCGACTTGGTCTGAATCCAAATTGGACACCCGGCAGTCTTGTGTCCATGACGAACAATAGTCTGCTGCTTATTATATTTGTGAACAGCCTAAACAAAGTGTTTCAAGCGCGATACCTCTATACGAGTCTGGGGCGTCTATGCTCCCTTTTCCTTTGTATATGACTTTCATTGTTGTGCGCCTGCAGTTGGTATTCTTCCGAGTTGGATTCATTTATAAATAGATCTGTCCAGCATTCCTCTAGATATTTTTTTGTATCTTTTATATGTTCGTTGAATATGGTGTCCGGACTGGCGGCTTTGATGTTTTTTAATTTTCTTAATGCTCTTGCGGTTTCAGATCGGGCGATAGCAGGGAAATGCGCATTGACAAATTCGAGTTGTTGAAATGCACAGCTTGTATTCTGTGTGTTCTGTGTGGTGAGAATATTCCAGAAGTGATTTTCCCAAGAGTTCATTTGGATACAGTTAGAGCATATTGTTTTTTCTGCTTTAGGGATACCAATGGGTCATTTTCGGCTTCTTTGGCGAGCTTTATTGCCTCCTTTTCTATGTGGTTTGTTTTTTCATCTTAAGACGAGATATTTTCTCCTTGCGTCTTATTGGTTGTACATTTGTGCTATGTTTTGTTTTGGCCTTCTTTACTAGTTCGAGTACTGCTCGCCTCTCTTTGTGGCATTCAGAATCAAACCATGTTTTTGCTCTTCTTTTATATTGGGTTTTATTTATTATTCTTTAATTACTCGTTTTATGAGCGTTGAGGCATTGTCGACATTTCGTTTGCTCTCTTGATGGATGCGGTATTTGAGCACTGCTGATAGGGATGCCTCGTCCAGTTTCGTACCGTTTGAGTGTTTTTGATTCTGTCCTGGATGGTGTAGTAGATGGTTTAACTCGCGCAACTTTTCTTGAACGATGACCTTGCTTGCCCCCTCTCTGGAACAATAAACAGACGATGGCAAAAGCTCGCAGCAAGCACTGATGACAACATTCCAAACACATCTTCACTGGCGCGAAACAGAAACAATTTTCTGTTGAAAACTTCTATCGATTATTTTTTCCAAAAATCTAAAGAAATGACCGAAGCAGGTACGGATCAAACACAGGAGATACCTCGAACTCTGATAAAGTTAGAACGCAAATTATTGAAAACGTTACGAAGGCGTGACTGATTCTCCAGAGATAAGCATTCCATCATAAAATCTAGTGGCCGATTTCGTAACTAATACCCACACTATACCCTCATTACTTCAATCCATCGTTCAAGAAAAGTTGCGCGATTAATATGCTTAGGAGAGCGTTCACTGGCAGATGTTTTCTGAGAGGGTTTGAAGACACAATTTTGCATGAAAGGGCTGTTATTTTGGAGCTGACGAAGATTACATCAATCGTGCTGGCGCCATTCGGGCATATATTGTTATGATCTGGGTTGTTTATTAGTTTGTGGCCTTTCTTCGTAATGTAGTCAAAAGAAATTGAGCTTTCAAGCTATCTTTATCCAATCTGCAGTTCATGTCGTCTGCAAGATAGTTGGGTTTTGCGGTCTAATTTTCTTAAGCGCTTTACTTATGGCGTCGTATCCACAAACTATATTTACGTTATTGCAGCGAATCGTCATTATGTTGCGGTTTTCAGACTCCTTTTTGTATGGGGCGAGGTGTGGCTTTCTGTTGCAGCCTCCACTTGGCCTGCCTCTAGCACCGTGTTGCGTCAGGGTATGGACGCCATAGTAGACATCCAAGTATGCTTATTTTCTTGAAAACGTTTCAGTGAATGCAATGATGTCTCCAGTGAATATATTTTCTGTCATTGTTCTATGTATTGAGTCGAGTCTTTCCACATACTCTATAGAGTCAGTTTTTTTTTTTTCTGGAATGTGCATCGGGGTGTTCTTCTGTTTTCTCAATTATATACGAGTTCTGGTAGGGATACTCTTTGTGGTGCTTGGTGTGGCGAGTGAAATTGCCTGATTATTAGTCCTTCAGGACTGAAATCTGGGCCTTCTACTTTTTTGCAGGGAATCCATATTTTGAATAATCTATCTAATCCTTTGGTTTTCAGCTTTTCGCATGTTATTTTTCCAATTCCCTTTCCCTTAAGGAAGGTCGTTACATTTTGTGATGAGTTACTTTGTGACAGCGGCCTAGGTATAACCATGCTGTCTGCTCTACTGCTTTTAGACCTTCTTGCGAGGTACCGACGATAATAATAATAATAATAATAATAATAATAATAATAATAATAATAATAATAATAATAATAATAATAATAATGTCTTTATTAATGGCGAGGCTCAGGCCATAGGGCCTGCTCTTCCCCCTAACCACTGAATTTACATACATACGATGGGTTTCCTCCCCCCCTTTTTCCATAGGAGACCATCTTGAAGTCTTCTTTGGGAAGTATTTCTTCTATGTTCTTGCGAGGTATCTCTTCTACTTCCTTCGCAGTTTCTACTTCGTAATGTTGTTGCTGCTGCTGCTGTAGTGGGTTCCGGTTGTTGCTCATTGTATCTTCGTCACTATTTTTGTTTTGTGATGCATGCTCTTTCACTTTTTCTACCTCATTGGTATGACTTACTATGGCAATAACATAGTATTTTGGGTTCCGATTTTGCGTTTGGCTAGGATTAAAAAAAAAATTGTTGCCCCTTCAATTGGCGCAATGCGTCTGCAAGTCGAGGGGCGTTGAGAGTTTTGTGCTTTCGGAGCAATCCCCCATTAATATCAGCGCGGGAGTAATCCTCCATTAATATTTCAATGTCGCATCCGTCACGTCTCGTCGCAGTCAGTACTCAAGAGGACCACCGAGTAGCATCTTTGCTCATATGCCTCCTACTACGCGCCCTTGCGTCACTACTCAGCGGCCAGTATTGGGAAAGCATTAGGATTGGGGTAGGGTTTAGGACACTTCACAGGCGGGTTTGAGAAGACAAGGCATTTTTGTTTCAAGCAGTTTAATAAAGAGAATTTTTCAAGTTGTATCTGAAGTATTAAAGGTAGGCCTACATGATTAGTTATACATTCATTCCATATTTGCATAACCATTATACAAAAAAGTCCACTAGTTTTACTATTTATTGGTAGCTTTTCAGGTTAATTTATCAATAACCATAAAAACTTGGATTATTTTAATTGTCATTAACCTGACATATAACTACATGTCATAACAATACACTCGAAATTATTTCTTTCCAAGCTACAGATTTGATGAGGTTTGAAACTACCGCCCCCAAGGATCTCCTTTGTTCCTCCGCCCACATTGCTACCTTATTTTCCCACGTTTCCAATCGAGATTGGTACGCAACGGGTACACCGAGTGAATCGGTCAACCGGCCATGTAGTTCTTCGGTGTTATTACCCGCGCACAATTTCTTGAGCCCTCGCGTTGCTAGTTGCGAGAGGAGTGATTAGTTTGGTTATTTTGACGAAAGGAATTTTGTATCAAATTTGTAGTTCACTTTTCGATGCAAAATAGTTTGTATTACACGGGAGAGAACATTTCTTGTTATCAGATTTTGTCTTCAACACTCTTTGCTATAATTTATTTTGAATTCAACTAATGTTGGCAAAGGATTCGGGGTTGATATTCCGGGGCTCAAGAAAACGTGCACGTATAATACGTCTACTCCGTGGTGGCGCTAGTAAATAGTGAATCGACTTCATGACTCACGAATCGTGAAAGCGAACCTCTGTGAAGTTCCTTCGTTCGTGCAACTTCCTTCAAGTGTTGTGTATTGAATTCACCTATAAACTATGCTTTTATTATTTAATGAACATTAAAAATTTATAAACCACAAATAAAAGCATTTATGTAAAAGTAACAACTTACTTCATAAATATTCCGTGAGTAATAATACGTCTTCCATGCATTTATTATTTATCCATTTGGAAGGGAACATTGGATTAATTGGGCAGTTTAAGTTAAAATATGATATTAATGATGATTTAAATAATTCATAAATACATATGTTCGGTCCTTTCGAGGTGTACTAAAAATTGTATGATTTATAAAATGTTAATTACTTTGTTGATTAAAATCCATATTCTCGCGATTTTAAAAGAGCCGCCTAGATAACTGCGTTCTACCAATCACAGCTCAGATACCGCCAAAACTGGTGAACGATTCAACGATTCAACCATGATTCAACGATTCATTCTGAAAAGTAATCGGACTACCGGTTCAATCAACAGTTGGGCCCCTGCGGCACCCTCCGGACAACATTGATGCCAGGGTAGGGAAACTTGGCGGTGAAAACGGGGTAATGATTTTTGCGCCATCTACAACAGTTCCGACGTGAGACGAACTAAACGTGTGACNNNNAAACGCAACAGCTGCGCTATCTGCACCAGGTCCGGGTGAGTGAGGAAACAAACTTAGTCCCCCGCCCAGAGAGTATATTTGCCCCCGCCTTTTAACATTGAGTGAACCGGCCCTGATTGATGCTGCGTACAGCAATACCTGTCGTTACGACAGTGTCGTACCTGTCCCCCCCCCTGAGATCACGTCATGAAAATATGAATATGTTTATTAGATTTAAATTTATTGTATTATAATTCCAGAAAGAGTGAATGTGAATGCGAGTTATTAGAGTTGCCTAATAAAAATATTCGCTAAGTTGAATTCATTCTGACAGTTTGGATTGGGAATAAATTGAGTGACATTAGTAGGTTATGTGTGGTGACAGTACTGCAAGAATGTTTAAACAGCTTAAAGATATCTTCTATCATTTTATTAATGTTGCAGGTATATTATCATGGTTTATTTGCATTTCCCAACATCGTTATCAGAAGAAGAGTTGATGTTGCAAGCTAAATATGCAAAGCTGAAAAAGAAAGTTAGTATCAAAAGTGTAGCCTTCATGGTGGCATGCTATACATTGATGGAATTTGTTTATAAGTGCACAGTGCTTGAATATAGATTTGCAGCTTGTAGGTCTGTTGTGAAACCACATTTACTTTTGTGCAGAAAATTGTTTTTTTCTGAAGCTATTGACAAAATAATTTTCTAAGTTTTGATACAAAATAAAATGAATTTGGGAAATTATTAAGTCTCTGTAGCTTTTTTTTTTTTTTTTAATAAATATTGGATGATTATAAAAGATAAATTTTGTGTATTGTGTAATAATCCACGTCAAGTATATAAATAAAACATTCTGACATGTACTTAGAAAATAAAGTGTCAGGGAAAGAATTGTATATTTTGTGGACTGACAATTGTTTTAAAAATTTTATTTCCATTTTCTAATAAAAACTAAGTTATTGCTTTAATTTTATTGTTATGAAATTTACATTTCAATTATTGTTAACAATTTAACATAACATTAAATTTACAGACTGTAGATTTCAATACAAATGGTTGAAGAAAGTATTAAGTTAATTTATTAATTTTTCTCACGATCATCGTAGTTTTAGTATAGTGAGTTATATTACACCCTAGGGTGTCTCTCGCATCCCAGGCTCCACATCTTTCTATCGGTGTAGTCTTCATTACTTAATCTTCTTTTCTCCGTTGCCTCATCCACTTCCTCTCCCCATGTAAGTCTAGATCTTCCTCTTCATTGATGGGTAGCTGGTTGCCATTTCCACAATATTTTCAGCCACCGCTCTTTGTTCTTTCTTTGCATGTGCCCATACTGTTTTAGTCTTTTCACTTATATGGTGCCAATTATATTAAAATTCACTTTCGGTTTATGTTTAATTTCTTCATTCTTAACTTTATCCATTAATATCAGTCCGCAACTTTGGCGCCAAAAGTCCATTTCCATTGTTTTCAATTTCTTTTCGCTCTTTTTTGTTACTTCCCATACCTCAGATCCATAAAAGACAATTTTCTCTACAACAACTATTATCTTAGTTGTGAAATGAAATAAATGAGTATGTATGTTTCTACTTATCTGGTAGCACATATAATTTGGATGTTAATTTAATTTCTTGCTCATTTTAGAAAAAGGCTCTACAAGCTTTGAAGTCGCCACGACCTGAGCAGGAAAGAGCCCCTACTACACCTAAGCGGCCTGCAGAGGCAAGAGATGCCAAAGAGGTAGTTAAGAAGTTGCTGAAGTCAGGAGCAATCCCAGCCATTGCAAAGACTCCCAAGAGACCTGAGCAAGCTGGCTTCAAACGGCCAGCTGGTCTTGAACGCAAACTCTCAGGTACAGAACGTACTGTCAGCGGCTACCAGCCCTTCTCTGCTACTCATCCGGAAGAAGCTGAGCCTGAACCAAGATCTAAAGGAAAGGTACATATTACATTTTACAATGTATCCTTTCTATGGTTTAAATTGGTGGTGGACCCTTATCAGTGCTCTTCCACTTAGAATAGTTTTGTCGTAATGTCATGATCATTCTATAAACCAAAGTAATTTCTATACACACAGCACAAGTTCGTAACTTACAATTATGTATCAAAACTAACCCCCGAACTCCTGACTAAATTTACAGTTTTTAAAATTTTATCATTAATTTTATGGCAAATGTAAGAAGATAAATTATTCAAATATTTTGTAAGCCATAATTATTCAGAAAAGTAAATCGGTTTAGTGATAAACTTACATTATTAGATAATAAATTAAATTATTTGAAAACTTTTTTTAAAATTCATATTTTCACAGAAGAAAAAAAGTAATAATGATTATGGACTTATTCCTGACTACACACATGCAAATATAAATTAACCTCATTGAAGTAAAAATGCAGTATTTAATGATTAAATATATTGTATTTCTAAAAAACTTTACAATAAATACGTAACAAACCTCCATTATAAAAAATCTCCCGAAACACGAGACACATCTCTAGTAAATGCTCAAACAAACACTCTGTGACAGTGCCTGTGTGCATTGTGGTTGTGATAATGACCACCACATGCGTAGCCCAGCAGATAGATTTCTAAGAAGTATGCGATCAAACTATCTGCAAAAATCGTATTACATCAAAGTAGGCTCTACAATTTGAAATTAGCCATAAGGTTGAAAATAGCTGGACTGAGCTAAGCAAAAAATGACCATACAGCATGTGAATTTGCAAAGAACCACAATCCCCACAATAAATCTCTTAAAATAAAAAGAAACTATACTACAATAGATCATTTTATTAGAGTTAGATAATTTTATATTTCACTATAAAAAAATTAAATTGTATGTATAAATAAACTGTAGAAAAGAGCTCTCTTCTTTTGTTTGTCAATATGCTTTAAAGCCTATTGTAAATTGTAGGAATTTTATTGAAAGGGTACCTACTAGATCTATCTACTATGGTGCATAGTCGTTATGACTCTTTAATGGTCTTCTCTAATAAAAATATTATTTTTCAGAGTATATACGAAAGTTTAGTGTCTGCCCGAGATCGTGAAGAGCGTGGCTTAGCAGAGAAGCCTGATGGCCGTCCAGATAAACCTCGTCAGGGGAATACAATATTTGTAACTGGCCACAATATAACAGAAGATTTCTTAAAAAAGGCTTTCCAGACATGTGGAACTATTGTAAATGTGACAATGGAAATTGAAAAGCAGTAAGTTGCTCTTTGTACTTGCAGTTTAACATAGAAAGAAAATGTTTTTTTGTCCAATTAGAAGCAAATAAATACTAGCAGTTTTATCTTTTGTGTAAAGTATAATGGGGAAAAAATGTTTGATAAGATTGGGTAGTGCATTGTTCAGTATGTTAATATGTATGTGTAAAGAGAAGCAAATAAATATCAAAGTACATGTATAAACAATAATGGAAAGAGCTCTGATACTGTATGTATGTGATAGGTTGTGTGTTTGTGTTTGAGAGGGGGAAGGTATTGACTGGGGTGATTAGGGGGCCAGGTAGGTGGAGCATAGTTGGTGAAGTATGTTTGAGAGGGGAGGTGTTCACGTGTGTGAGTTGAGAGAGATATTTGCAATATTTCAGTTTGTTGTTATCTATCCACTGAAGTTAACAAGTATTCTTGTGTACATGTATCTATTATAAAAGTGAAAGTGTGCCAGAAAAAATTCTGAACCACCGGAGTTATTGCTCTCAAATTTGGAGCGAACACTTTTGAAATTGAAAGTAGTGGGTATTACAATTCAAAATATTAGCCGCAAATATATTTGTTAAAAAAATCGGTTTAATGCAACTGTCACTGCATCTATGTATTAAAAGATTGTTTTGCCATGTTGTCCGGCCAGGGTTTGGTGTGAGAGGGGTGAGAGTTAGGAGGGCTGTGACTGAGGGGGGGGGGTGAGAGAGGGCAGGATGGAGCAGTGAGGACGAGGCTCGGTGGAGAGTATAGGTGAAAGTATTCTGCGATTCTTCTAACTCGGCCCCTTAAGGCACCATTTCACTGTGGCATTATGTCACGGTGAAAAGTCATTTTTCATGACTTTCTTAATTGTGCTGCTAGATGTCGCATGATCGTACAGAAGCTCTGGGTACTGAGGAGATCGTACGACATCTAGTGGCACGACCAAGAAAGACGTGAAATACAGCGACATAATGCCACCATGAAGCAGGGTCTTGCGGGGCTGAGTTAGAAATATCGCAGTATAGTGCAGGGTGGAGCCGAACTGCTGAGAGGGGGGGGGGCAGAGTGTGGTGGAGCAGAGCAGAACAAGGGGGAGTGGAGCGAGGAGGTGGTCTGGGGTAATAAATAAAATTACTGCCATTTTACATAATAGAATTCATTCCTTGTCCTGCCCTATTTATGAATGATCGTTATAAATAAATACCCAGGTAACAACAGGTTTCTTCCAGTTAAATTGTATATTAGAAAACTAGTGTGTATTTTTAGCAATGAACATGGTTTCCAGTGTATTTGTTTTTGTTTTTCAGCCGAGGCTTTGTGACGTTTGACAAAGTGGAATCAGCTGATCGAGCCATAAATGAGGTAATATAAGTTGTTTATAAAATATGATGTCAATAAAAAATTCCTATACTTAAACATCAATGCAAGAGGTTGTTATCACTATCAATAAAAAGGGAAATAATGTGATTTGAGGGGTGAAAAATTAATAATAAAAACATTAGCTAGCATGTTTTGTAATTACCATATATGATTTCTGCTTGCTGCCTCAAAGAATAGTAGGTGGAAAGTTTCCATCCAATCAAGAAGAAAAGAAAGTTTGGTCTTGCATGATAATCTTGAAGTTAGAAAATGCAAATCTTCTGCTGTTGTAAATTTTCTGTTCATTGGTGCCATGAAATAACTTGATTTTATCTTTTGTTCAATTACAGTTCACTTCTCCAATTAAATAATTTGCAATTTAATTAGTTTTACATTCAATTGGTATGCAATTACTGTATTTTCTTCCCATTAAAAAGGATATTGAATCTAAGCATAGGCTACCGCAGTTGGAATCTTAAGCTACTAAGCTGTCTGGGAGATGTTGCATCTTAGGTAAATTTGCCACTGTTTTGTTTGTCATATTGTAATCTTCCTCATGAGCCCACTTGTTTTAGCTTAATTTTTCACATTTGGTTTAAAAGACAATCCAACCAAAAATCACTCGAATTGTGCACTGCGAAAATTACCTAATTGAACCATCCGATGTTTTCCATTATCACAACATTTCATAGTGAACCAGTCAGTTTTCAATTTTTTATCGTTAGGGGAATGTCTTATCCAATAAATCTTCTTTGACAGCATATTCTTAAACAATAAGTAAAAATTTGTAGGAGGGAAAAAAGTAAAGCAGAGCAAAAACATAAGTATTTCTCTTGCTCCAGAAGCTCAAACGTCATGAAACTATCAGTTTGTATATTCAACTTGTTTTTGCCATTCCTTCAGTTTTTGAGAATATAAAAAAAATTTCTCACTGTCAAACTTATGACAGTGAGTAATTAAATCTTCATATCTTTCTGTAGGCAGCAGATTATTGCTGTATTAACCTTTATTTTCACTATTTTTGTTACAGCTTGAAGGTTGTGTTGTTTCTGGGATTCAATTGAAAGTTTCTTTGGCTAGACGGCAGCCTGTGATTCAACCGATTAATGATGCAACATCATCCTCTGCATGGTCCACTATAGGTAAGTTGATATTTTAAATTTTTTAAATTGAATTTCAAGAAATGAAAATTGTATCAATTGATTTTTTTCATGAAGTGTTTTAATCTGAAAGCCACTCAATTCCCACTAAATTCCTTCACAATTGTATAAATTGTATTGTGACTTTATTAAAACATTTGGAAATCCATACTGAATAGTAATTTGTTCATTTAAAAGTTAGTAATCTATTTGATGAATTCAGAATAATATAGATCCGAGCCACGTTCTTTTCGGAGAGAAAACAAAGTAGCTTCTTGGCATAATTCAATATGAAACTGAATATAACAGCTTCTCTTAAGATAGTATGGTGATAGGTAGGTTGAGTGTTTAGCATAGTGAAGAAAATAAAGGATTAAAATGAAAAATTTGAACTGCTTGAAGTGTAACTTATTTTACACCAGTAAGCTTTGTTTATATATCGATATATATATAAACAATGCATGTAATTACTAACTCTACAGATTACCATATGTTATTAATAAATTTCTAGTGGTGTTCTTTATCTGTGATTTGAACATAAAACATTTACACATAGAAATTTTCTTTCAACTTCATTTAAATTTAGGGAACAATGGTGGAAACTTGCAATTGCTTTTGCTTTGTAGTAGTATAGTAGTATAAACTTGCTCTTACTTTTTTTTTACAGTTTTCAAAGCAAGATTTTGTTTTATTTTCTTACTTTTAGCTGCTAAGAAATACCCTCCTAGTCCTGGTAAATTGTTGAAGGCGTTTGCCAGAGAATTTAGTTTTATTGAAGTGCTCAGCTCGAGATCATATTTTTTGAGTTTGATAATTATCTTAGGTAGAGTATCTGATGTATGGAGGAAACGTTTAATATATACATATCTTTAAGTGGTTTACATCTGGTGATGTTTCTCGGTTCCTCTTTTTCAGCCTTCCCTCTCCACTCTATCTTCCTCTGTCAAATTTCTTGTCCCCATTGGAGTCAGTATTCCTTGATTCCATGGGGTCGATGGTCTGCCCCACCATCTTCTATGTGGTGGAATCCATTCACCTCTCTTCTGGCATTCTCAGCAAATGTTCGTACCATTGAAGCTGTTTTTGTTCTACTTATCTGTTAAATCCTTTTAAATTTCCATTTTTTCTTGAATGCAACTTTAGACTGTTTGAAACCCATTTTCATTATTGGGGCATATATGTAGCAGATTCTCAGATCTAAAAGTATTCCCGCTGGTGTTTCTTTTAGATCCAGTGATGAAGTAACAGCTTTAAGAAAAAAAGGCTGTTTCTGAAGATTTTGAATTTCTAAACTCTTGCTGAGAGTCTGAAAACAGTTCTTCTTTCATGGGAAAAGTGTTCATTTGTATACAGAAAAGTGTCTCCAATACTTTTGAGAAAACTGCTGAAAGAAAAGTTGCCTGATAATTTTGAATTTTTTATTATTGTTGCCTTTTTAAAAAGTGACTTAGATTTTGCTGTTGTGAAAATATCTGGAAATATTACTGTGTTGCGTTGAAGCATTGAAAATTTGAATATATAGGTAATTAAAGGCAGGTGCACAAATTTTTAATGGATAATTCAGAAATTCATCTAAACCAGCTAGTTTTAATTTACAATTATGAGGATTTCATTGGAAGAAGTTTTGGAAACAAATATCATGTTCAAATTTTTTTTTGGAAATGCACAATGTTGAATTTTGTGCTTTTAGTCCCTTTGTGAGATCAACTGCATTTCTCAAAAAGTGTTAGTTGAAAAAACTTGTAATTGTTAGTGGATCACATACCTCTCCGTCAATATCTTTTACAACATTTTCTGCAATGTTTCAAGATAATGTGGTCATATTCCAGATTCAGATAGGGGGAGTACCTTCTTTATATCTTCAAATTGCAAAATTGAGTCTTGTTCCCACCTTTGTAGCTAAGACAGACCCTGATGGAAGGAGAATCTGTCAGTTCTTCTTTGAATGTTAATTCTTTTCCGTGCTTTGACAAAAGCTCCAAAAGGAACAAATATTCAGAGAGAAGCATTTAAAAAAGGGTACAATTTCAAAATAAACTTCACCAGACACTGAACTTTTAAATAGGCTGTTAAACAAGGTGATTCTCTATCAGCTACACTATTTAATAAGGCTCTCAATGGTGAGAAGACTTCAAGTGTTAGGGGGAATATCGTTTATAAGTCAAAATTGTGTCTAACATAAGCTGTTGATGTAGTCCTATTTGCAAAACATAGACACACTAGAAGAAATGTTCAAAAAATTGGAAATAAATAGTAAAGTAATAGGCCTTAAAATTAATGGGAAAAATCATAAATATTTTACAACGTTGGCTTCAGAAATTAAAAGAACACAAAGAATGTAAATAAATGGTTATAGCTTTGAAGGAGTCGGTGCTTTCAAACATCTTGGAGTGAATATTAATAATGCAAATAATATATTTGAAGAAATCAACAAAAGGGTGATGAAAGGCAGTAAAGCTTTCTACTCAAATACACAAGTTCTAAAATTTGCTCTTTTGACCAGGAATACAAACATCAAGTTATAAAAAGCCTTAATAAGACCTATAGTAAGTTACGGAGCAGAAACATGGGTCCTTACCAACTGGGACACTTGAGACTACGTAAATTGAAGAGGAAAATCATAAAATCATATGGAGTAGTTACGGACAGAGAAAGATGGAGCTTAAGATATAATGGACAAATAAAATACACTTGATGGATAAAATATTGTTAAATTAGAAAGTCTTACAGAATTTCTTGGTTAGCTCATGAGCAGAGAATGGGAACAGAAAGATTGCCCCATAACATACACAAAAATAATATTCTAGGTGTAAGAAACATTGGATCAAAGATGTTGTGGATGACCCGAAGAAGATGAAAGTTATTGGTTGGTGAGACAAGGCTGAGAGAAAGGAACATTCTTCAGACAGCCCCGGCGCACATTGGGCTGTAGTGCTTTGGAAGAAGATACCGAACTTATTATTAAATTTTGCCTTTGGCCAAAAGTCCACTTGCCTTTAGCTCAGTTAAAAAAAGGTTGCACCCAAATGAAATGCAGTCTTCTGCAAAATGTCATTCTTTACACACAATTTTTTCTTGTGTAGTGGCAATATATACACAACATTTTGATAAATAAATAGAGATATTGTCAGGTATCAATATTTTAATTCCACTAATGATCATTTCGATCGCGTAGCGATCATCCTCAGAGCTTGCAGCTTCTGGGCCGAAAACAAAATGGATGGTCGGACAGGATGATCGCTACGCGATCGAAATGATCATTAGTGGAATTAAAATATTGATACCTGACAATATCTCTATTTATTTATCAAAATAAAAAAGGTATCTACTTCACCAACAATCCAATTAATTAACAACATTTTGAGATAGCCTATCTGGAGAGAAACTGTGATCTCCATTTCCTTGAGGAGTCCTTGGGAATAGAGTGAACCATCGATCCCAAAACAGTTCGTTGAACACAGGTAGAGGAGGTTAACATATTATATAAGCTGTGGCTGGCTTAGCTTCTTGCCACACTGAAGATTGGATGTGCACACACATCAGGATACTATTTGATGGAATGTACCATGCAATTTAAACACACATGATGCAAACTTTAAAGTGATCTCACAGTTTACTTTGTACAAAAGAAAATAACAAAATATATTGAACATATTTAAACATGTGAATATATTCTTACAAAGTAAAATATACTCTATCATCACCAATATTCTGAAATGTGCACAGTGAGATTTGGTATGATTTGGTGTTTTTGTTGATTCCTAACAACACGAAATGAAGTTGTGTTCTTTATGCAAATCATTATGTTTAAGGAAAAAACATGTAAATATGCAAAATTTGCAGTGGTTATAGGCAATAAATAGCATTGCACTGATGATCTTCCCGTACTAATTTACGTGGTACCACCTTCTGTGAACTTTGTTTTTTCTCTCCTGCAAAGTTTTGTTCTTGTGGCTTCTGTTTTTCTCATTTTCAACACTTCATATGTAAAAACATTTTATGTAGTATTAAATATCATTTTAATAACGGTTTTCAGACCAATTGTTTGCTGTTTTGTAGGATAACATGATGAAATAAACTTCAATTTTGAAATAAAAAATATATACAAAACATGACTTTTCAGTGTTTATTATGAAATGTAAAAATATAAAATATAAACTTTATTGTTCTCTGATATATTGTTAATAGTAAACTATCTTATAAAATAAATATAGATGTAGATTTAGCAAATTTGAATGAAAGTATTGGAATTTTATTTTAATGTATGTAATATGTCTGTTACAGCTGCAAACAGATCTCAGAAGGGCAGTCATAAAGATACGAGAGAAATTGTTCAATATGTAGAACACATGTTTGATTAACATTCCAGAACATAAGCATATAATCATTAGTGATGATGTGAACATTAATGACAATAGGTCAAATTTTTGAAAAAATGTTCCTAACTGATTAGAATGGATATCACAATATTTAGGGAGTCCTCTAAAATGTAATGTGTGTAGCCTTAAAGAATACGTTCATAAAAAGAATGTGGGCAATGAGAAGACATGACACCATTTATTTTATTTAACATGACTACCGTTTATTTTTTTTATAAGTAACAATTGAAAGTGCACCTAAATGAAGAGAGAAGGAAGTTGGAAGTTTCCAATACATCAGTTATGCAACAATACTGCATAACTGTATTATCAATAAAAAAAATTATATTCATTAGTGAGTGCTTTCATAAAAAGTTTGCTTAGTTCTGACCAGTGCAAATTTACTTAGTATCTCAGTCTTATTGAAATGTAGTTTGTATAATTGCAACAATTGTACGTATGTCAGTGAGTAATTGTTTTATTTTTACATTGGGATTTTATATGTTGCTATTCTAAAAATGGAAATTGTATCTACAGTTTTTGAAAATAATTATTTCATTGATTAATGATAGCAGTAACTAGAAGATTAATTTTAGTGTGTTTTTTTAAGTTAATGTTTGTATATTGTGAGTTTAAAAGTTTTAATAAAAATATTTCTTATATTTAGTGGGATTTTGATATTATGTATACAGTAGAACCCTACAAATCTGAAATTTTGGATAATCCTAACAAAATTCAGGATGGAGGAAAAAGTAAACAAAAATCCCTTGATTTGTATTAACTTAATTTATGAAGAAAATGGGATGAACACAGAGTATTTCAGCATTTCAATTAGTTTCTATCCTCTAATATAATAATGTGACGAAGAAAATGTGAAAAAGAGAAATTGAGCATATCATTACATGTCTTCCAACTTACAATACCCAAAATTTTTGGTCCCTTGGAAAATATGGTATTGAGATTCCACTGTAATTTTCCTTATGGAACAAAATAAAATTATAGAGCAGCACGTCAAACTGTGTCTGCACGAGCTACATGCCTGCCTGGGGAGCCCAACACACCTATAGGCTTGGACAACTTCCCCTGACTCCGCACTCACTTCCCCTCCAAATCAAGAAAGGGGTGTAGTGTACATGAGCAAGCTGAAGTGGTGCATACCGGCGAATGACGGCTTCATACAAAAATATGGTTGTTAGATGTTTTCTATCGAATACTGAGAATTGTATTATGTTTATATTCTTTTCTACCTATTACTATTTCACAACCTATTAATATATGGTTGTTAGATGTTTTCCATCAAATGCTGAGAATTGCATTATGTTTATATTCTTCTCTACCTATTACTATTTCACAACCTATTAATATATGGTTGTTAGATGTTTTCTATCAAATACTGAGAATTGTATTATGTTTATATTCTTCTCTACCTATTACTACTTCACAACCTATTAAAATATGGTTGTTAGATGTTTTCCATCAAATACTGAGAATTGCATTATGTTTATATTCTTCTCTACCTATTACTATTTCATGTTTATTTTCTTACTAAATTCTCCCTTATATAAACATATTTACTACAAGACAAAAATATGTTTAAATGTTTAATTCTTTCTTTGTTTGTCTTAAAATATGTTTAATTCTTTCTTTGTTTTGATTTTGTGTTGTGTTATTAAATCATTCAGTTATTTATCGTATTTAGTAATAATGCGAAATAAATTATCAAGTTTCTATAAGTTAACAATTCTCACTTATGGATGGACAGTACTTTTAACAGACCAAAATATGTGTCTATTAAAGCTCCAAACCTGAACATAGAAAGTTAATGCTTTTATTTCACGGTAAAGTAAACAGAATTACAAAATCAAAGAACTTTTGATTCATATTTTTTCATTTTACTCTCAATTGAGAATTTGAAATTGAACTGATGAATTATTTCATTTTCATTGATTGTTTCTTTGCTTTAAAGAGAAAATTGGAATTAATGTAGCTAAACTTCAGACAATAACTGTCAAGTAACTTCGCCCAAAGACTGCTATGGAACAGTGCCTTACAACCATCCCTTAGCAATTTGTACAATCCTTTCTTTTAAATCTCTTTCCAAATTCTCGGGACGCACTGCCTGCAAGATGAGTAAGCTTGTGACCGCGCCCGTGACCTTGACATGCCTGATATAGAGCATCATTTATACCTTATAAGAATTGCAAATTTCTGATGCAGAGCTTGAGTTTTCACTCTTCAGTCAAAATTTTGAATTATTCCAGAAAAGCATTTGCAAATTGTCCACAATGACAGAGAGAGGTAAATATCAATCATTCAGTCTGTTATCAAAGAATATTGCGTTTCACATTATGTGTTCAAAGGTAACAATTGAAATTTTAATTCATTACGTTTTATACGTTAATACATTAAATTTAATATTTTAATTGACTGTAAGCTAAGGAAGAGAAATAAATCATATCTTGAGGCGTACATTTCAGGCTTGAGAGGTGCAGTTTCATGAAGGACAAATGTATTTCGCCCCTGAGGTGTTTATGCTATTTTTCTATGATAACAATATTTTATGAATCGTACGTAAAAACTATTAAACCATGACTTTCTCAATTTTATACGTAAATATAATTTCTTATATTATAGAAATTCTATTTTTACTATCGATTAGCAGCTGCATGTTTAATGATCAGCATGGCAGAACGTAAGTATATTGCTCATAATGTTGAATATAAAATACGGAATTTCATGCGATCGTGAAATTCATTGAAGTCAGAAACTTAAAATCTCTGTTTCTTGTGACTAATTATTGAATCTGAGACAGCAAACATTTTGCATATAATGCTTATTTTAGAGGTTTGAAACAAATTTTGTACATATTTGCATGTTTTTCAATTTTTTGCCTAAAAGACACTTTTTTCCAGTAAAAATTATTAATGCAAACTGTACATTTTTTTATTCAAGCAGGAGCATACTAAAACCTTCAGAATGTTGTCATTTAGGGCTGGTAAATAAGTAAAATTTGTTGAGGATGAAGAAAATTAAAAATAGGTAAACAATAAAATTCATAAATGAGAACCCTGTGTTCCTGCCCTTCACAAAATGAACTAGGCATTAAATTATCAAAAAAATAAAAATGATCCCATCTTAATATGTAAAATAAAAAGGTCTGTTTCAAACTTCAAAATGATACTGTTTGAAGAAGGCACTTTCTTTCTTTCTTTCTTTAATTATTTAAAACAGGCAATCGTCCAATTAACATATCATTTTACAAATCTTATTCTACATAAAACATATACATAATAACATGCCTAATAATGTAATTACTTTAGTGCATGTTATAATAATTATCTAGCAAAATCATTTAATGTTGCAGTTTAAAGAATAATCGTGTTTCTATGAATAGAAAATAGTTTTTGTTATATTTTATTATATTATATGTATTTAACTGTCCAATTTACAAATAGATGCAAATAGGTATTCTGTTTATAATTGCATATCTCGGTGTAAAAGATCAACATAAAATATGAATTACATGTTTGATGTTTTGCTAAGTTTCAGTGCATGAACATGCTACACAAACATAACACAAATTGATACAAATTTTTGATATTTCAATGTAATTTCTCAATCCCTTCAATAGTCTGAAATAGAAAATGCATTTTTGATGTCTGGAAATTTGAAAGCAGAAGAATTATTTTTCTAGAGGAACTTACAGAAATCAAGCCTGCATGTACATACTAAATATTAAGATTTTAATTAATGTTCAGAGTTCATTAAAACAAGTACATGATTATTTTTAATTGTTATTTTTTTGTATTTCATTTTGAAATCAATACTTGTGAAATTTTATTGCTTGCAGAATTCTTTTTTCTTTTTATTCCATTTTTAATAAATTTGTGACAATATATTTTGCAGTATTATATGTCATGCTGAATCACTTACACGGGAGAATATCCAAAACTCCTTACTGAATTCTGAAAATAATTGTAATAATATACAATTAAACTAAAACAAAAACTTTAAACCATTTCACCGACCATATGGAAAAAATATCGCCCTTCAAATTGAATTCTCGTAATGGTCGAGGATCGCAACCGTATCGACCAGTGCTGGCGATCATGCAACATCTAGCGGCACAACCGAGAAAGACGCGAAATGAGATATTCCATCGTGAAGACAAGGCCTCGTGCGCCAAGAAACGAAGTATAGTCAAAGAGGACACAGAGGCGCTAGTCGATTGCTCGACATATCGATAGGTGCCCTACGGATGAGATTATGTCGATAACTCCAACACTTCCCCTCGAGACAATCCTCCACGATTCACTAGTCCATGCACTTCTCTTGCTTCGGCCTGGTCAAGGCCTTGATGGAAATGTCAGCTGGCATCTCCACCGATACCAGATGCTCAAACTTGAGTTGCCCTGACTCCACGACTTCCCCGACAAAATGATGTGCTTTGTTCGAAAATGAAAGACTGGGTTTGTCGCCAGTCTCTGGGCACTGAGCTATCGTGCAGGGCCAACGCCTCCAGCTCGACCTCTCCCAACTCAGTCAGGAAACTTCCAAGATGTGTGGTCTCCTTGGCAGCCTCGCTCCGGACCATGTTCTCAGCGTCCGTGGTGGAAATCGCGTATGCCCATTGCGCTCTGGAGTCCCATGTTACAGGGCCACCGGGCTGGTGAACACATCCTGTGAATGACCGTCTGTCGTCTATCAACTCTGCGTAGTCCGCATCTACAAATTCCATGACGAGAGAGCCCCCCTACCTCATCTGACCCTCAAGTCCACACTGCCTTTTAAGTATCGCATCACCCTCTTCGCTGCTTGCTAGTGGGATTTTCCGAGAGTCGTTGTATTGGGCAAGCACACTCACGGCGTGAGCTATGACTGGGCGTGTTGTCAACGACAGATACAGGAGATACCCTACAAGCTCACGATACGGCAGTTTGTCGCCATTAGAGTCGCCCCACACATCAGCCGTGGTGAGGTTTGAGCAAGACGCAATGGGCGTGGAAACGGGATGGAACTCACACATCTTGAATTGTCACAAAATGTCCTCTATAAGTCGTTTGATCCATGAAGATAAATTCCTCGATCACCTTGAATTCTATTTCCAACGAGCGCTCCAGATTCCGTGGATACTTCACCTCGAAAAATCTTCTCAGATCATTTCCGAAAGCATTTATCTTTTCGGACTTTCGACACATCACCAGTATGTCATCCACATAAATTACAATGGACATTGTGCCGTTATTGGCATCCTTAGGGTACATGCACATGTCTCAAGTGGAAGAAAGAACTCAGAAACAAAAAATGAAAAAGAGAGTTGATATACCCAGTTGGTCATTGTTAATTGTAAGAAAACCTCGTTTTGAGAAAATTTTCAAAATGTTGAGACTATGTAAAGTATTGTCCATAATTCACAATATCTATTAATTAATTTAAGTAATTTAATTAATGTAGGAACAAGAATTTTTCTGTCGAAAAATCCCCGATTTTTTTGTAACATCAAAAATTCAAGTAAACTGCATCTAAAAAGTGAAAACAACAAACGTCTTTTACTTCAATTTATTTAGAGATGCCCCTGACGTAAAGGGGATTGTTGCGTTGTCATCCAATCGGAAGCTTACTCATCACTACAGTGACGTCACACACGTGGTGACGTTCATTCTTCCGATTGGATGCCACCGCAGCATCTGATTTACGCCAGGGGTAGCTGTCAATAAATCGAAGTGTAATAAGATGAGATTAGATACATCGTAAGATAAGTCATGAACGTAAGTATTATACCTACGATTTCGCTTCTGTGTCGCTGCTGCAATGGAAGGAAGAGGAGCTGTGTGGCAGCGACGTCAATGCTAGGGTCTCTCTTGTTATTACTGTGTATGACTACTACTGTATGTGGCTGGCACAACCGCACTGTTTCCCCTTCGGGTCTTGCACATGCTTTTTCCAGCGGACGCTAGATGTTACATTGCTTTCGCATTTTATTTAAATTTGACTCTCCTTGGTACAAATTCCGTCAAGTTCGCGAAATTTTAAGTTTCTCGTTTTGAAGTTTATTAACTTTATTAGAATTATGTTCAAAAACCACGAGCCTAAGGCAGAGAGAAAAAGAAACTTCAAGTCATATTTTACTTTTAAAATAAAGTATTTCTCAGCGACGCTACCAGAGCGCAGCAATATCTATAGAAGCGCGCTTTAGACGCGAAGATTGTTTACTAGTGGTTGTGGGATACGATTGTTAGTCCCGTAAGAGTAGTGAGTGTTTTTTTCTTGGGAAGTGGCGGTGATCTTACCCCGCTGGATGGCGTGATAAGCGGCCAACCTATCGTCGACTAGTGGGGTTGTCCTCAACCGGGTATCTCCCACCAGCTGGGCACCGCCCCAGCCGGGCCAAGCTCTAAGCTCCCTGCCGGTCACCCAGCATTTGTCGTAGTGTAATGCATGTGTGTGTGTAAGAAAGGGACATGGGACAAGGAAGAGGAAGGAAATATCGCGCACAGTTCGTGACATGTTTGGTAGGGTACTGTCCCGGCATTCGCCTGGTGTTGATCGGAGAAACCACGGAAAACTACCGATAAGGGCAGGTGGCCGCTAGAATTTTCCTTCAGACAGCGACTCAATTTTATCTTGCAATCTACCTAGTGTCAAAAGACCGGTACTGAAACCTGGGACCTCCCGGTCAGAGGCTCTGCATTGACATCAGTTGATGCCCTGTAGTTGCGAGTAACCACGAGTAGCGCAACGGAAGCTTCGGTGGAGAAACGCGGCCATGAAGGATGCCTGTGCGTGCGCTTGGAAAGGCCTAGGCACTCGCGAAACTATAGAACGATTTTCTTAAGAAAGGGACAAAGTGACAGTTCGCGAAACAAGTGAACATCGCGTGTACTTCAGAGAAGTATCCCTCTGCCGCGTCAGGTGTTTAGTTACGCCCTTTGTGTTTGTTTATGGATCACGCGAGTCATCACCTAAGAGATGTCTGAGTTTCGCTTAGTTATATGGACGTACGTGAGTCCGGGAAGTATCGAAATTTATTTACATATGTGGGAAAATGTCTTAACGTGATCTCCAATTCAATAAAAGAAAACTGCCGCGAATGTAAATAGAAAGAAAATTGATTTTTCAGGGGACGTTTAAATACCTTTTCTGGACGTTTCACAGCAAATATGTCATCCACTTTTGTAGTGAAGAGGGTGGTTGATAATTATAACACCCCGATTATTAAAACTTGGTACTATGCTCTCATAACTCAGATGTCAAGCAGGATATCACGAAAAGCTCCCAAACACAGGTCGCCAGTCGCCGCACAGCGCAAATGCAGGAAACACGTGCACCGTCACGAGTACGCATCTCCCATTGAAAACTCGATTTCAAAGCAAACATAATACTTATCAGATAAAAATTAAATTTAATGTAATTTTTATTTTAAAAAAAGAATTTTTACAGAATAGCACAAAGCTCTGCACTTCTTAATTTCAATTATTTCTAGTGGCGCACTATATTTTCGTAGGACGAGAACATCACAACAGGAGCGTCGAAACTATTTACAAGTTAGCCAACTGCAAACAAACGAATGGATGAAAGAGAGTCTAATAAGTTCAAGAATACAACGACCACAGAATCGTCAGTTGTATTGCCAGCACTAGCTGTCAAATCATTCCATTCTAAAGAAAATCGCACAATATGCGTGGCGGAAGCAAAACGGCAGAAAATGCACGGCTGCGAAGAAAGATGCGCAAGCGTCTGACGGAAGAAACAGTGCGGTTGCGGCGGAGGAAATCAAGTGTTCGGGCTTCAAAAGAGTCATTGGCATATTGGAGAAAGCAGTAAAGGTGCAATTTTAAATGTCGACTTATGTATCCTAAATCGCATTTTTTTTTTTGAAGTACGTTTATGAGAACAGTGCACTTCTCTTTTTCGTTAAAATCCCTAAATTTTCGAAAATTGTAAAATTTCAATTTTTTTCGGCGCGTGCTACAACTGCAATTATTAACGTATTTCCTTAATCAAATATGTTCATCAGTTAAAGATCTTCGTAATAAAAGTATGCGCAATTTTTCGAAAGTATGAGTATTTTTGGCGTAATTTTGCGTAAATCATAGGAAATTTTTAAATTTTAAACAATTTTTTTCTCAGAAATCTCTCCATATTTTTGTTTATTTTTGGCATGTATGTAGCAAAGAACGGAAAAGAAGACGGTGCAAGTATTTGGCACACTTTGTATTTTTGGAAGTTGGAAACAAATTCAAAATGGTAAATTTGAATTTCCCTTGCTCCGTTTGAGGCGATGTTAATATGTAATAAGGCGGTAATAAAATTAACTTAATATTACAAATCTTAGAACGTTAGTCAATTACTTTATTAGAATTAGAGTTAGTTATTAACAGCAGTTTTTTTAAAATAATATTTCACGCGACGTTACCATACAAGCTGGGACATAGCAGTTCTAAGAAGTAATGAATAGTCAGGATTTCCACGCAATTACCTGTTTTTATTCAATTTTCGCAGAGCTTCTAAACTTTGTAATTATATCTTTCTTGGGAAGCTCATTTTAAAAATGTACACCTTTTCCGTGCATTTTTGTGTGTTTGTTAGTTTTGAGAATTTTTTTTTACATATTTCCTCCACAAATGTCCACAGATATTCGAGTGAAAGTTTGATTTATATTATTTTGTCTTTAAAAAAGGCAACCTTATTAGTTGCTATTTAGCCTGACAGTTGATAAGAAATCCATTATAATAAAAGAGATTCATCACTTCTGGCCAACGAAGTGTGGTCTTTCCAGGTCAAGAAATTTATCAGTCGTGTATTGCATTGAAATGTAGGTTTGTCTTCACTCCAAGTTTGGAATTACTTCAAAAACTCTAGAGGGGAATTTTGGAACTAATACCCTCTCTCTCTACTCGCATTTCTCCAAGCCGGTTGCCGATATTACATTCAAAAATACCGCACAGCATATTGATGTAGAGTGTGTTATCACGTCATTTGACCCATCATAGCTTAGTCTATTTATTTCCGCCAATAACAGTTAAAAACTGTGTGACGTGTGGGAGAAGTTAAATTTAGAAGTCTAGTTTAGTATTGTGTTAGTATTATAGATATCGCAACCTGTTCGATGGCATGGGCGGATCCAGTCGTTACAATTGTGTGTGTGTGTGTGTGGGGGGGGGAGAGGGGCATCATAGATGTTTGTTTCGGCCCGACAAATAGGTACGTGTGCAGGGGCCTTTGTACCCCTGCCCCAGGGCCTTTGAAATCTCCATTGAAATCGGATACTAAGCTGAAGTTTGCTAGAATATGGGGCGCTAGTATCGCCAGGGTCAGCTTCAGGTAAAACGTGCCAACTTCCGCAAAAAAAATTGGCTAATTTGAGAAACATACGAAAAGTGTCTTCTAAATGGTCAATTATTCATGATATATACATAAAAGACACGGCTAAAGAAACCGCGAATATAAGCGCTAGCTTTTGTAATTTCTTTCTTTTGCGAGCCTGCTTGCGTCCCGCAAACCCACGCACATTTTAAGTAACGTTGGCAGCAGTTCGTGTTTTAGTTGCCACAAGAAGATTTGTAGGAGAGCGCGCCACTTTTATGAGCTCCCGAGGAGAATTCCACCAAATAGTTCATTAATGAGAGTTTGACGGAAGTTGGAAGGCCCTGCCCAGGCCGCCCCTGTCATACTCGTAGTGACGTTTTTAGATAACAAGTATTATAACACCTGGCAACGGCAAGTTGTGATAGTGATGGCAAAAATCGTTGTTAAAGAGGACACCGGAATTAAAAGAGAACAGGTAAATTTTTTTGTATATTTCATATTTTCAAATTACTAAAATTCACGACAATTTAGAGTGCTGTTTGCAGGGGGCAGGTTAACAAAAACAGGGGGCCCCTGTATGTATAACGTCATATATATATATATATATATATATATATATATATATATATATATATATATATATATATATATATATATAATGTATGTTATATGCACATAATTAATATTTATAAAATTATTTAAGGGAATTATATTTTATATTCAAATAATTTACTTATAATTATTCCAATCTATGCGATATTAACTTGCAGCTCTATTTCTTGAAAAAAAATTTCAATGATATCGTTGGAATTAATTTTGCTTAAAACATCCTACTCAAACGAGCATCACCAGTCTGACCCATTTTACGCTCTGCAACTTGTCATGACAATACATTTCTCTGCCATATCTTTTTCAGTTAATTTTCTTTTCACTTTTTGAGGGGGCCCCTGAGCTACAATCCGTGCAGCCCTGCCTTAAATTCGGCTCTTGATATTAGTAATGTACAGTACTTTTAGGTAGTGTATTAGAACCTGTACTCTTTCTCTCATAAATAAAAGGCTGGCATATCTCAAATATATGTAAAAGCTTTGGAATTACTACAAAAATGCATTACCAAAATTTGCTTAAGTAAATCAAAAGATTACTCTAAAACACAAATGTTTTGAATTATATATATTGAAAATACAAGAATTATTGAATTTACTAATTTATGGTATATTCATAAAAATATATCAAATTTCCAAGTGGTGACTCTTGAACACAGTATGAAAATATGTATCATTTTACTTGACAGTTGAAATATATAACCACTTCAGGTTATAAACTTTGAGTTGAGCTATGGATCACAGATCCTGTGCAATATTTCCTTCTTCATTGTCCTATGCCTACTCCTTACTTACACACACTTACATGCTCTGCACTACCACACATGCTGGAAGACTGTGCAGAGCTTACAGCTTGTCCTGGCTGGGATGGTACCTAGCTCAGATGGTGGGAGATACCTGGTTGGGGAAAACCCCTCCAGCCGAAAGGTAGTTTGTTGCCGGATCTCACCACTCAATTGGAAAATATCACTGCCACCTCCTGAGAGAGAAGAAACAGTACACTTAAGGGACTGATAACTTAGGCAGTTTATGCACCCAGTCACCAATCAATCAATCAACATAATGTTTACAGGTACTCGTCTATTAGCTGATGTATTTTTAGTAGATGTTTCCTTGTTTCTAGGATGAGATTAGTTAAATATTGTATTCAATGATGCAATCAAATAATAAAACTTATAATTTTTTATTTGCCAATAGGCTTACACAGAGATTAGTTTCAAGCAATGCCAATGTATAATAACTTTAAAATGGCATAAAAACAAAAATTAACACGTAATATACAATATATAAGAAAATACATAAAGTACGTAGGACACATACAATGGTATAAAACAAAAATTAACACATAATATGCAATTTATAAAAAAAGACATAAAGTACGTAAGAATATAGATAAATTAAATTATACTACTATTACATTTTCTATTCCATTAGTTCTTTTAATTTATAGGGTCACATTCCTATTAAATACTTCTTCAACAAGGCATTGAATTTCTTTTCTTTAAACAACTTTAATATTTTTAGGCCATTTATTATATAATAAGATGGCTCTGTGTTGGGGGCTTTTTATGTCTTGAGGCTCTAGACATAAATATTCTGTAGAATGAAGTGTGATCTGAAGAGAGTAATGATTTTATAGGCATAAAGGGCTATTACAGTCGTTATGTTGTGTGTGATGTAGTAATTCTTACAAGACTGTGTAGGTTTTAGTTTGAAAATGCATCTAGGAGCCCTTTTTTGTATAATAATAGATCTGTTAATGTTTTTAAGCAAGTTAGACTTTCATCAATATATATTCCAAGCAATTTATGGCATTCATTTTTATAATGATATAGTTTCATTTTTTTTACCTCAACATGAGTATGGTTATTTGAGGTCTTTGAGTTTGATACATTAAAGTACATTACATTTGTTTTTGTTTTTTTAGTACATACGATTAAATTATTTATGTCGAAGTAGCAAGATTCCATTGATTCTGATTCTATTGATTTTGTAATTTTTTTATCTAGTGTAATTAAGTCTTTATCATTGAAAACAACTGAGGTGTCATCTGCGTATGATATTAACTTATAATCTCTAGTCTTGGGAATTTACATATAATAAAAAAAGTAGAGGACTAATTACTGTCCCTTGTGGAACACCTGAAATTACTTTTTCAGACTTTGACAGTATTTTATCAATTGAATGTTCAGATTACCAAAAACGTTCTGTGCTATGCTTATGATTTTTTAGGCATGATTGCAAGAATTTCAGCCCCAAACACTCCATTTTTTGAAGAAGTAAGTTGTGGGGTACTGTATCAAAAGCCTTTGACAAATCTATAGAAATACTTTATGTATGTAGATTATTTTCATGCTGATAAAATACTTCATTTATAAAATCATATGCTGCAGTAACAGTTGAAATGCGTTTTCTGAACCCATATTGACATTTTAAAAAACATTATTACATTCCATAAAATTATAGACTTTTTTATATAACTTTTTCAAAAAGTTTTCATCAAGTCAGAACTTGATGCGAGTATGACAGGTCAATTATTATATATATATCAATTAGATTTCCTTTCTTATAAAGGGATCTCACCATACTAATTTTTAGAATATCTAAGAATATATAATCTCTAAGTGAGCTGTTTATTAGATGCTCTAGTATTTCTAGTAAAACCCCATTTGCACTTCTTAAGTATTAGAAACGACACTTCATCCCACCCTGAGGATTTGCTACAATTAAAAGTGCAAATTAGTTGATTGATCTTTATAGTGTCAGTAGACTTCATGAATATAGTATTTGTAATTGTGATTTTGTAGTCCGTTCTGGAGATTGATTTTTAATGTGCACTATATTTATAAAAAAATGTATTAAAGGCAGAACTAACTTCCTCAGTCTCGCGTATTATTTCACCTTTTTGGAACAGTTGTATGTTTTGATGTTTTTTTGCTTGTCTTCTATTTTTATGTACAATATCCCACATCATTTTGGATTTATTTGTTGTATTATTTACCATGTTTCTTTTAAAATTTTTTGTATTGTTTTGGTAAAGTTTTTTATAGTTTTTGTGTTGTATTATAAAGCATTCTAATTTAGTATCATTATAGAGTGTATAATATACTTTCATATTTTCTCTAAGTTTAATTACTTAAATCAGTTAATTCTTGTTAATTTTATTTATCTTTCTCCTTGTTACTGGGCATAAAATATTTGGACGATTAATAAATACTCGAAGAAATAATTCCCATTTTTTGTTTGAATTTTGTTCAGAATATACTTCTGCCCATTTTTCATTTTGGATTATATCTTTTAATTGACACAGTTTAGTTCCCCTAGTATAGGGGAATAGCATAGCATTACATAGCAGAATTTAGTTTTCTGAGTCACATAATTGAAATTTTTTTGGTGATCTGTACAATGTGATCAGGTAGGTGAACATTTTCTTTTGACGCTGTATACTGATTTTCATTGATGTTAGTTATGACGTGATCAATGGATCTACTGGAATAATCAGTGATTCTAGTGGGTTCAAGTACTATATCACATAGATTAACCCTGTTATGTGGTCATTAAGAATTTCATTCCCCCTATCGATATTTAAATCCCCTAATAGCGCTATTTTACCCTTGCTCTTACTGAGCTTCTCTAGCAATTCTTAAAGTTTGGCAATGAAATCAATCATATGTTCCAGTGATCGAAAATTTCCCATAAATTGTATAGTTTCCATATCTGATAATACTTCAACACCCTATACTTCAAATAACATTTCTACCCCATGCTTACTAATCCAGTTATTTTGATTGAGCTCTTTTGCATAGATGACAACTCCTCCCTCTTTTATGCGCTATTCTACAAAGTAAGCTATTAAGTTGTAGTTCACAAAACTAATTTTTTAATTCCATTGATTCCTCACCCTTGTTAAGTGAAAACACAGATGTGTGGATTTTTATCATTTATAATGATTTCCAGCTAATCACACTTATTACTTACCTTCTACCCAAATTTTCAGTCACAATGTGATGCACAGTTGTTTTACAAATTCTGGTGAGCTCCTGAATTAACCTGATAGTTGCGCAACAATCATTTTGAAGAATTTCAGCCACTTTTCGAACGTCATTTTTGACTTGAACTATCGCTGATGCACATGGCAATGAATAGTCTTCATTGTTCTCTGTGCCTTTATGATACTTTCATACCACTTAATAACGTTTTTAAGTCTCAATGCTTCACTACCATAAATACGTATCATTGTAAACGTTTTTGTGACACTCTTATTCACATTGAAAAAAAACTTAATGTTCACACTTTGCTTCATTGCTCTTTTCACAACCGAGGGTCAAAACATACGGTTACAGTTTTGTTAACTACAAGCTGTCTTTTTAACAAGTGTTACTTTGCTGATTTTGTTAATGAAATAAAAATTTTGTGTTTTGAACACCGCTTTTGATGTGATTTCTCTATTATTATATGTTTTTAAACACCGTGCTTGCTTCTAGGATGAAGAGAATCCCATTCCAGTATTTCAATCATTAGAGCAAGAAAATGCAGATGAAGTGAGTATTATAATTCCATATTGATTAACTTTTAAATAATTTTTAAAAATTTGCTACTACTCCATGTGAATAGGAAACGTTTCTGAAATATTAAAATTATCATATAACATGTAATTTTGCTTCGTAATTTAATAATAATCTTGCATATTGTGTTTTGGGGTCATTACTTTTGATATTTCAGTCATTTCTTTGTTATCAGATCGATTTTTAAAATGTCCTGTTGTATTTAGGAGGAAAATAAGCCCAGCCTTAAACTGCGTTCAGTAGAGTAAGAAAACGCTGATGAAGCGAGTGTCATATTTTCATTTTGAATTATTTTTAAATACATTTGGGAATTCATTAGTATTCCATTGAAAAGTGAATTATTCTTTTACACTATGATGTAACATGTAATTTTGCTTGTTAATTAAATAATAATCTTGTATTACTTTTGCTTTCTAAACTCTGCGTTTCATGCTTTAGTCATATGTTTACTATTAGATGTATTTTTTAAATGCCCTGTTCTTGTTTCTAGGATGAAAATAAGCCCTGTCCTGTTTTGGAATCATTAGAACAAGAAAATGCAGATGAAGTGAGTGTCATTATTTCAAGTTTGAATATTTGCTACTCTTCCATGCGAATAAGAAACTACAGTAAAATCTGTCTAAATTGGATCCTAATCTTGTAACTTGCCAAAACCAAATATTTCTCCAGCTCGTGAATTTAAAGGGGGTTTTACAGAGCATAAAACGAACAGAAGCTCTCCAATGTAGAAACGGAACAGTTTTTCATGAACTGTGTGTATATATATATATATATATATATATATATATATATATATATATATATATATATATATATGTATGTATATATAAAATTAAATTTCAGTGAATTTAATGCAATTGGCAGAGAGACAGGAGATGTTCTTACTGAAACGATGCTAGCCTGTTTGAAAAAGTTCATTTACAATATTGAGTACAGGTACTTTTGCTTGTTAATTAATTAAATATAGTGTAGTGTCTTGATTTTCTGAACTCTGCTTTTGATGTTCTCAGTCATTTTTCTATTATCAGATCTGTTTTTGAAATGCTCCATACTTTTCTAGGATGAAGAGAAGCCCAGTTCAGTATTGCAATCAGTAGAGCCAAAAAATGCAATTGAAGTGAGTGTCATAATTCCGTATTCAATTATTTTTAAGTACTTTGGAAATTTTTTAAATTGTGAAAAGTAAACTATTTTTTAGCATTATCATGTAACATTAATTTCGCTTATTAAATAAATAAATATCTTATAATATATTTTCTGAACACTGCTTTTGATGTTTTGAGTCATTTCTCTATCATCAGATCTGTGGTTTAAATGCCTTATGGGTGTTTTTAGGATGAAGATAAGTCCAGTCCAGTATTGCAATCAGTGAAGCAAGAATATGCAGATTCTGCGAGTTAGAATTCCAGAGTGAATTTTTGTTAAATAGCTGATTTACCTGAGTAGAAGTCGACTCTGAATATCAGACAACCTCCAAATTTGGAAGAGGCCTCTTGAGATTTAAAAAAAAAATATTTAACTTATTCTTACTATTTAGTCAAATAAAATTGAAAATTCTCATTTACTAGAAAATTGCTTCATTGATGAGGATATTACTACTTGTTGAACTTTCATTTTCGTTTTCCTTGAAACCATGATAATCATGGTTTTTGTCACTACACTCATCATCTCTTGTGTCAATTTACCTATTCATATTGCTCCTCCTTCCATGCTGTGACATCTGACTGATTAGGTCACTCGAGTCTTTTTCGAATTGAATCTTTTTTGTTCTTAGTCAATTCATCAAATGCCAATTGGAAACAATTTTGACTGTGTCTCTAGATTTTCTATCTATTCCGCAGTACTTGATCTCTTTTTTTAACAGTTCAAAATGCATCTTCGCTCTTGCTGGGCATTGAGATGGTAATTGAGATTTCTCACAGCCTCATCGACATGGCATTGTGTAACAACAAACTCTTGGTATTCATTTTCTTGTTACGTTTCATGTGATACAATGCTCTTTATCTGAGATCCCGTTTATTGATCCATTCAAAAATGTCCGTTTGAAGTGCCTGGAAAATTTGCAGTTGATGCCAAGAATACGACCGTGAATATAATTACAGTAGATAAACACAATATTTTTACATTCTTTGCAGTTTATTATTTTGCCAACATTTAATGTTTCGTGACAAAGTTAAAAGTTAAACCCTAACAGATTAAGCAAGATAATTTACAAATTTAAGATGACACAACATTTTTCTACTCAGATATTTAGGAAAAAACTCATCTTATATCCTTGGTAAATATGGTATATTTGAAAGTTTGCTACAATTCCATGTGATGAGGGAACTATTCTGTTACATTATCCATGTATTACATACGAGGTGTGTCTGGAAAGAAATGCAATTTTGTTTCAGCAGTTACTTAAAATTGCCGCGAAGTGTTCCAGAAAGTTGGATTAGGTGGGCAGGACTCATCGCATTAAAGCGTAGCTTTTGCCAGTCTGCTCCGAGCATTTGGAATATCAGGATCACTGTACCCCTGTTTAGGGCCGGTATCATGAAACGTGATGGAATCGTTACTCAAGCAGCAAGCTTACAGCAATGTTATGCTGTAAACTTTTGTTCAAAATTCAAAAAATTTATTGCAGAAACCCACTGATTGATTGTTTAAGAATAAATGGCCAATACTCTATCATATTCTTGACTTTTCAGGTGGTTGAATGCATTTAAGGAAGGCAGGAAAGGGGTGGTGGGAAGGCAGGAAAGTGAACCCTCTTGCTGGATGACCTTTCTTAACCAGCTTAACCTATTGCGTTTTGGCCCGTGAGTGCAAACAGTATAATTCTGACCATCAGTGGGGCGTCCGGATAATTGAAAAAACGAAACAAAAATTCTGAAAAAATTGTACACAAACTGGTGAACGATAAATTTGATATGATTAAGATGTGTGCCAAGCTTGTTGCCAAGGTGCTGATGGACGATGAGAAGAATCGCCATCGTGTTTATTAGTAACAAGTGAAGCACAAATTGACAACACTGCCCCAACTTCTCTAGAGTCCAGACATGGCCCTGGCTAACTTGTTTCTCTCACCTGAGGCTCAAGACCATGCAGAAAGGAATCCATTTGGATAGATTGATGCTATCCAAGATGCAGTACCGAGGGCCGTTCCCAAGGTCATTGTTGACGCCTTCCATGACACGAAAAATGCATGGCAAAGTCGCTGGAAAATGTGTATGGATGACCTAGGGAATCACTTCAATGAGTATAAATGTTTGTAAGATTATCTTTAAACAATACATTTGTTTTAAAAAAAATTGCTTTACTCTCCAGACACACCTTATAATGTGTAATTTTGCTTGTCAATTAAATAACAAGCTTATATTAGCTTCATTTTCTGAACACTGGTTTTGATGTTTTCTGTACTTTCTCTATTATCACACCTGTTTTTTAAATGCCTTATGTTTGTTTCTAGGATGAAGATAAGCCCAGTCCAGTATTGCAATCAGTAGAGAAAGAAAATGCAGGTGAAGTGAGTGTCATAATTCCATGTTTAAAAGTTTGCTTACTATTTCATGTGAAATGCAAACTATTTTGATACATTAGAACTGTTACATAATGTGTAATTTTCAATGTTAATTAATAGTAGTTTATGCAATTAGATTATAATGTAAACTTTATTGCCTGAGTACATGTTTTGAAAACGAGCGATATTAGTGCGTGTTTTTTAATTTGTACGAATGCAGTTAAAAACATAAAAAAGTTGTATACCCTATTTTTTTGTATAAAAATTATAAATTTATAATAGATACAGACTTAATTTTGCAAAACGAGTATCTTGCATCATCTCTGGTATTTGACATCTGTGCAAGAAGTTTTCGAAATTTAGATTATATAACATTAACCTAGTTTTTTAGTGTCAGTGAAAAAGATGGCGTTTTGGAGTGCATGTTTGTGTAATGCGCGTTTGTTCACAAGTTGAGATTAGGTTAGATGAAGGAACTTATTTTATTTTATATTTTGAACTAGCTGAATTGTGCAGTATCAGTTTGTGAAAAATACTATCAAAAATATAATGGAAGTGATGTAGTGTATCATTCATTTCTGCAAAAATCGTATTCTGAGTAGAAAATGGATTTGTTTGTAAACACACAGACTAATTTAATGTAAAACATGCCACTATATTCAATCACCATTTCACGAAAGATAATACTTGCGAGATTTGCAATCTAAGCTGCTAGAAAGTTGAATTATGCTCGAAATTGACACCTGCTCATATCAATGTGTTTGGGAGGGATCATCGAAAAGCTCATCTGGCTTGTCAAGAGGACAACAAATGACCATCCACTCCCCGTTGAATTCAAAAGTCTCTTAGGTCTTGAGGTAATGGGCAGAAATGTAACGCATATAACATTAAACAGTTCTTGTCCTGTGGCTCTTGAACAAGACGTTAATATATAACTCGCCTCTTATCCCGTATCATGTCCATCGAAATCCACTTCAGAATGTACAACTGAAGGTCTACAATATATAGCTGGGTAATAAAATTGTCTCAGAGTGGTTTGATTGTCCCAACAAACACTTAGTTAAATTCATAAATTCTTGGCTATCCGGGAGACGTCACGTCGTTGGCAGAGAGGCCGACGTTTCTCCAGACATGTCGCAGGTTTCCTCAGGGCAGTCACTGCTGCAGAAGCTTACTTATGCAATCGGTTAAATTCATTAAAAGAGATTGAAATGATATTTTCACAATTTAGTGGACATCACAGTGTAAGCAAAGACTATATTGTGGTACGGACATTGCAAAATTTTGTCACAGAAAGTTCTATCTTTGAATCCTCAAATGGTAAAATTATGCACCAGGACAAGGATATTTATTAGAGTACATTTAAATATGGAAGCTGAAGCAAAATCTGCTGAACTTCTCAACCGAAAGGCAAGAAAGGGGCAGGCTTCATTTTCTTCCATTTCAAAACAAAGTTAAGCTTATATGTTGTTTTTTTCCATGCTTTTGCATTTTGAATCATTTTTTCTGAATAACTAGAGGTGAATGAATTCTATAAAATGTAATATGATATCATTCTTTCCAAGCAACTGGTAAAGACAAAGTTAAATCATATGGCATCTCAAGTATATTTTAAAATGACCTGCAGAGTGCTATTAGAAACTTAGATGGCTGGATTATTACTCACTTTAAAAATTTTCTTCTGGGAAACTAGATAATTGATTCCAGATATTATTGTCATTCTTTATTCTGAGTAAATATTAATAAATATTCTTCTATATATTAAAATATTTAGTGAAATTTGACAGTGTCTTCAAGCAGCTGCGTGGGTGCAACAGAGTTGTCCCCAAGTGACGTCCTGTGCTGAAGCCATTGCCACACATTAACTCTACCTCTTATTCTAGGTTCCTTGGGCTGTTCCATTAATTTACCCCCTGCCCCCCTTCTCACGCTGTGTTGAGCTGACCAAATGATAACGCAATAACTCCTGCGGTAAATTGCTAATAAGTCATTTGTGCTGCAAAATGTCAGATTGTGAAATTTATTGCAACCTGAAAGGTCGTTAATAATGCGTGAAAAAAAATAGGCATCTTATATTATCTTTCTTTTCTAAACACTGCTAGACATTTCTAGACCCTTTTCAGGCAATTCTGTATGATAAGATCTGTGATTAAATGCCTTGTACTTATTTCTAGGTTGAAAATAATCCCAGCCCAGAATTGGATTCAGCAAGGCAAGACAATGCAGGCGAAGTGAGTGTCATTATTTCATGTTGAATATTGTTAAATATGTTTGAAAATCCCTAATCTTTCTCATGAAAACTGAACTATTCTTTTACGTATTAAATGTAATGTGCAACTTTGCTTGTTAATTAAATAATAATTATGTTTTACCTTTGTCTTCTGAACACTGTTTGATGTCTTAAGTAATTCTCTGTTATGAGCTGTGTCTTTTAAATGCCCTGTGTTTGTTTTTAGGATAAAGACGAGCCCAATCCTGTTTTACAATCAGTAGAGCAAGAAAACGCAAATAAAGTGAGTGTAGTAATTTTATATTTAATTATATTTAAATACATTTGAAACTTTTTTTATTCAGTGGGAAATGTATAATTTTGAAACTCTCATGTAATATGCAACATTGCTTTTTAATTGAATAATAATTATGCTTTATTTATGTTTTGTGAACACTGTTTTTTATGTCTTCAGTCATTACTCTATTATGAGCTGTGTTTGCTTTTAGGATGAAGATAAGCCCGATCCTGTATTACACTTAGTAGAGCCAGAAAACGCAAATGAAGTGAGTGTAGTAATTACATATTTAAAACTTTTTAAATATTATTTTAAAATTTGATAATTTTCCATGTGAAAGGTAAAATATTTTTTACTCTCATGTAATGTGTAACTTTGCTTGGTAATTGAAAAATTATTATACTTTTTCTTTGTTTTCTGCACACTGCTTTCGATGTCTTCAATCATTACACTATTTGGAGCGGCGTTTTTTAAGTGCCCTGTGTTTGTTTTTAGGAAGAAGATAAGACCAATCCAGTTTTACAATCAGTAGAGCAAGAAAACGCAAATGAAGTGAGTGTAGTAATTTCATATTTAATTATTTTAAACTACATTTGAAAATTTGTTAATATTCTGTGAGAAAAGTATTTTTTTTTACTCTATTGGAAATTGTAACTTTGCATGGTAATTGAAAAATAATTATACTTTATCTATATTTTCTGCACACTGTTTTTAATGCATTCAGTCATTTCTTTATTATGAGTTGTTTGTTTTTAGGATGAAAATAAGCACAATCCTGTTTTACAATCAGTGGAGCAAGAAAACGCAAATGTAGTGAGTATAGTACTTACATATTTAGTCATTTTAAAATACATTTGAAAATTTGTTTATATTGCATATGAAAAGTACTGTCAAGTACATGTAACTTAGCTTGTTGATTGAATAATAACTACGATTTATCTTTGTTTTCTGAATAGAATTTTCGATGTCTTCAGTCATTACACTATTACGAGCTGGGTTTTTAAAGTGCCCTATGATTGTTTTTAGGATGAAGATAAGCCTAATACTGTTTTACAATCAGTAGTGCAAGAAAATACAAATAAAGTAAGTGTAGTAATTCCATATTTAATAATTTTTAAATACATATGATATGTTAATATTGTGTGTGAAAAGTGAAATTTTTTTACTCTCACATGACTTGCAATATTGCTTGTCAATTGAATACAAATTATGCTCTATCATTTATTTCTGAACACTGTTTTTGATGTCTTCAGTCATTACTCTATTTTGAGCTGTGTTTTTTTTAGGATGAAGATAAGCCCAATCCTGTTTTACAATCGGTAGAGCCAAAAAAATCAACTGAAGTGAGTGTACTAAATACATACTTACAATTTTTTTAAATCATATGAAAATATGTTAATATTTAATGTGAAAAGAAAATTGTTTTTTACTCTCATGAATTGTGTAAATTTGCTTGTTAATTGAATAATAATTGTGTTTTATCTTTATTTTCTTAACACTGATTTCGATGACTTCAGTCATTCCACTAATAGGAGCTAAGTTTTTTAAGAGCCGTGTAATTGTTTTTAGGATGAAGAAAAGCCAAATACTGTTTTACAATCAGCAGAGCAAGAAAATACAAATGAAGTAAGCTTAGTAATTACATATTTAATAATTTTTAAATACATTTGATGATTTGTTAATTTTTCATGAGAAAAGTGAAATTTTTTTGTGCAACGTTGTTTGTTAATTGAATAATAATTATACTTTATCTATGTTTTCTGAACACTGTTTTTGATGTCTTCAGTCATTACTCTATTATGAGCTGTGTTTGTTTTTAGGATGAAGATAAGCTGATTCCTGTTTTACTATCTGTAGAGCAAGAAAACTCAAATAAAGTGAGTGCAGTAATTTCATATTTATTAATTTTGAAATACATTTGAAAATGTATTCATATTCCATGTGAAAAGTACTCTAATGAAACCTGTAACTTTGTTTGTTAATTGAATAAGAACTATGCTTTATCTTTGTTTTCTGAACACTGTGTTTGATGTCTTCAGTCATTACACTATTACGAGCTATGTTTTTTAAGTGCCCGGTGATTGTTTTTAGGATGAAGATAAGCCCAATCCAGTTTTACAATCAGAAGAGCAAGAGAATGCAGATGAAGTGAGTATCATAATTTCATATTGAATTGTTTTTAAATACATTTGGGTATTTGTTAATGTTCTATTGAAAAGTGAATTATCCTTTTACACTGTCAAGTAACATGTAATTTTGCTTGTTGATTAAATAATAATCTTACAGTAGCTTTGCTTCTTAAACATTGCTTTTGGTGTCTTAATTTGTTGCTCTATTATGAAATCTGTTTTTTAAGTTCCCTATGTTTATTTCTAGGATGAAGAAATGCCCAGTCCAATATTGCAATCAGTTGAGCAGGGGAATGCTGATAAAGTGAGTGTCATAATTATATATTGAATAATTTATAAATTTTGAAAATATACTTCCATTCCATGTGAAAAGTGAACTTTAATTTTATCATCATGTATGTGTAATAGTTTGTAAATAAAATTACAGTATTGTAACATGTTGGTTTTCTGAACCCTGCTGTTGCTGTTTCCATTAATTTCTCTAGTTTCAGATCTTTATTTTTGAAAGTACTGTGTTTATTTTCAGAGTGAAGATAAGCCCTGTCCTGAATTGCATTCATTAGAGCCAGAAAATGCAGATGACGTGAGTGTCATAATTCCATTTTGAATTATTTCTAAATACAAATTCTAGAAATATGGTGTTAGGGGAATAATACGTATAGAAAAAGGGCAAAATGATGAACTAAAGGCAAGCAACATAGATATGGCAGTGATCACAGACACAAATAAAAGTAAAAAAAAAACTAAACATGTAGAAGAATATATAATGTTCTACTCTGGAGTAGAACCAGAAAACTGGGCAGCAGAGGAAGTAACAATACTAATAGAGAAGAAATAGCAAGAAAATATAATCGTATTCAGTTGGATTACATTCTGACTAATAAAATTAACCATGTTAATACAAAATCAAACATTTCACATGTTAGGAAGAGGCATGAAAACTGTATGTGGGAGTACAGGAAAACCTTAATAAAAACAACAAGAAATATCAAATAATAATCATGTGAGACCTCAATGCAAGAATCGGAAATGCAAAAACAATCGAATGATGCAGAAGATCAGGAGAGGAAACCATAAACAATAATGGATACGAATTAATAAAATTTTACTATTCGATAATCTGAAAATTACTAACACGTTTTTCAAACACAAATCGGCACACTAATACACATGGGAGGTTCAAGATAAATAATAGACTATATAATTCCAGATGAGAAAACAATGCAAAATATTATAGACATGAGAGTATATAGGGGTAACGAAATAGATAGTGATCATTACCTAGTTATAAGGAAAATGGGATTATCAAACCTGCAAAAATAAATAAGGAAGAAAACTGAATAAGATCATCAGAAAAGAAAACATTTTAAAAGCTCATTTGCTTAAAGATGAGTGTGAAAACCTTATACCAATCAAGATTAAGGTTAAAACTAAGAACAATGGAGGAGAAAGATTAAAGAGGAAAGCTGGAAAAACATAAGGACAACAATCCTTGAGGCAGCTAAAGAGTCTAAGGTACTAGTTAGCAAAAGAACAAGAGAAGACTGAGAACCTGAAACCAAGAAATACAAGAACATAATGGAAAAGAAGAAATCTTCCCATAAATTCTTACAAAGAAAGGCAGGAGGATCACATTAAAAAAAAGGGGGGGGGGCACAAAGATTTTATGTAAGTCTGAAAAAAATGGGAATGACTACAAGAGACAGATTCAACAGAAACCTAATACAGGACAAAGAGGGAGAGGAACTCTACAATATTTTATGGTATGGTCCAGAGCAAGAACATACAAACAATGAGGTAGCAACAGTAACTGAAGAGGAAGAAATAGATATGGAAGACCTAGAAAACAAAATAGGCACCCTGAAGTATAGGAAGAGAGCAGGAATATACAGGATAAAACCAGAAATGATGAAATATAGAGGACAGAAATATAAAATCCAATTATTGAAAGTAATAAATGAGATAGACTCATAAAACAGAACCCCAAGAATGGAGGATGTCAATAGTCTTCAAACATCTTCAAAAAAAGGAAGCGGGAGAAGTTGTAACAACTATAGGAACATAAGCATGATACTAGTGACATCAAAAATATTTGCTAACTTGAAAAGATAAAAACTAATCAAAATCAAAGAAGAAAAACTAGAGGAAAAACAATGGGGATTTCACAAGAGGAGAAGTACTGCAGAAGATGCAATAATAATCTAACAGATTATTAAAAAAAGAAAGAACATGGCTTATCAAACCAGAAGTTGTGGGAAATATGAAAGAAGAAACAGTACCAGAATATTTAATCAAAAACAAACAGAGCCTGTACCAATTCCATAATGGTTACTAAAAATGACGTAGGCTCAACACAGCAGATGAAGATCAACAAAGGTCTAAGACAAGGATGCTCATCGTCACCACTACTCTTTAACATTTACTTAAATCACATAACAAAAACCAAAAATAGAAAGGGTAAACTGAAGCAGGAATAAAGAAAACAAACGACCAGGAATTCATGACCATATTATTCACAGACGACCAAGTTGTAATAACAGACTCAGAAGACACACTAAAGTAAGCAACCTTCGAGTTAAGCAAAATAAGCAAACCCTATCAAAAGAAAATATCAAGCCAGAAAACTAAAACACTATCCTTCAATGGCAAAGAACATCTTAGAACCAAAATAATAATAGAAAATTCAATAATTGAACAAGTTACAACTTTTAAATGTCTCTGAAATTCAATTGAATTGAACCAAAAGGATATAGAAGAAAAAATACAAAAACATAATAGAAACAATGGAATAATAGACATTTGGGACACATGAGAAAAGAAAGAATGATGAAAATCCATAATATTACATCAAAACCAATGCTAAAGTATAGTTAAAAAATGTGGATAATGGGCATTAAAGAAACCAGAAGTATAGAAGTAGCTCAGATGAAGTTTCTAAGGGCAGTGTTAGGAGTAACAGGAAGAGAGAAAATTTGAAATAAAACGATTAGAAAAGAACAGGAAACTTTGCAGATGAAATCAAAATACCAATGGAAATGGAGAAAACATGTGGAGAAAATAGACAAATCATCTACCACAGATGGCATTAAACTATAGATGGCAAGAGGGATAGAGGCAGACCAATAAGATGATGGCACCTGCAGGAATACTTTACCACATCAAGGAGTACTTATTTACTACCCACCAACAGGACAGAGCACAGCTCCTAAACTGAAGGTTTTGATGATAATGACGATGATATGTTTGAAAATTTGTAAATATTGCTTGTGGAAAGTGAACTATGCTTTTACATTATCATATAATGTAATTAGGCTTATTAATTTAATAACTATCGTGTAGCATTTGTTTTCTGAACACGCTTTTGACGTTTTCAGGCATTTGTCTACTGTAGATCTTTTTTCAAATGCTTTGATTTCTAGGATGAAAATAATCCAAGTCCAGAACTGCGTTCAGTAGGTCAAGAAAATGCAGAATGTTATGATTCCTAGTTAAATATTATTGAATGCATTTGAAAATTTGCTAATATTCCTTGTGAAAAGGGAACTATTCTTTTACATTATTATGTAATGCGTAATTTTGCTTGTTAATTAAATAATAATCCTGTAGTATCTTTGTTTTCTGAATACTTATTTTGATGTCTTCAGGCATTTTTTTTTATTATCAGATGTGTTTTTTACATACTGTGCTTGATTTTAGGATGAAGATAAGCCCAGTCCAGTATTGCAGTCAGTTGAGCAAGGGAATGTAAATAAAGTGAGTGTCATAATTCCTTATTGAATTAATTTTAAATAGGTAAATTTGAAAATATTCTGTGTGAAATGTGAACTATTATTTTGCATTATCATTAATGCAAAAGTTAGTAATTACTAATTTTGCTTTTTTATTTATTTATTTATGTCCAAAATTACACGGACCAAAGTCCTTTTTCTAGCAAAACTCATTACAATGACATGAATTTTGTGGTACTTAGTTATGAATTGCTGTAGATGAATATTGTATACAGCAAAATCTCTCGTGGCCCAAGTTTTACAAATCCATTTAAGGTCAGAGAAAATGTCGTCAAAATGCTATGAGTCGGAACTCTTATAATTAAAGTGAGCTCTCGTCTTTGATAGATGGGTTTGCCTCAGCTTGCTACTTTACCAAATAGGAAATTTTAGATTGATAAATATATTTCTTCAGAACATTGGCCTCAATACAAATGTATAAACAGAAATAAAAACATAATACAATTTCAAAGCGATCGGTGTCCATTAATAACAGTGAATTATAAAGATCACACAAAGTAACAAATAGAATCGTAATTCGCTGTTCAAAATCGTATCTCAAATTCGCATTTGGCGTAGGTATGAATTCACTATGCACAATTGACTGAATAGCTAATGACGGATGATGTGCATTGACATTAACTATTGACTCTATTGAAGGTATCAGCAAATCTAACTTCAAAGCATTAGAGAAAATCAAGTCCAACCTATTGTTGTTAACATTATGGATAGTATTGAGCTGAGATAAATTTAAAAAACTATACGTATTCACAATTACTCTGGCACATTCTCCCTCTCTAAACATAGTTCCTTTTTCAAAAGAGGGTGGGTCACTGTTGCCTTGACTAAACCATTTGATATTTGCCAGATTGTAATCATCAATGACAAACGAATTTGTTTTGGGGAATTCAGAATCCAAGTTTTCTACTGATTTATAGTGTGATGAGACAATAGTAGAATGCGTTAGTAGAGGAAAGTATAACATATGAATAATCAATTTCATAACCAAAAACAAGGACAAATAAATGTTCAACATAATTTGAGCTGTGTAATACATGCTACTCAACTTTTTTTTCACACCACTACCCATAACATGACTACTGGTAGAAACATTGCGATCATTCCTATAAATAACTAATTTATGTAGCATAAACTCAAACTAAAAATGTTGGGGCACAACAAAGTTTCCATTAAAATAATTACATCAAACTCATCTAAAATATAACTAAATTTTTCCACTGTTTTGATTTGGATTCTGAGCCCTCTTATATTTGATAGAGATTTTTAGTTTTACTAGATCTGTTTTTTTGATATTGCTGTTATGGCAAGTGTACTATTTGTTTGTGCCTTCTCATACCTAATAGTTTTAGCAACAGATTTTGCATTGAGTGAATCTAGTTTCAGATGAAGTTTTTTGAGGCGATCTCGTTCCATCAGCGTCAAATCATTAGATATTACAATATTTGTTTTCTCTTTGAGTTTTTTACGAGCTTTTAAAACATAAAACTAAGGCAGAGCTTTTCAGGCTCAGTTTCAATGGACTGATGTGAGGGAAACATTTTCCTTTTCTGTAAACCTTGACAATATCTTTTCAGTTCATTTCATCGGATTTTTAGGATCACATTAGTAAGAATATTCAAATTGAATTCATCACAAACAGAAGAGTAATTTGAATCAGATTCATTAGAATTGTATAAAATAATGTTTGATTTACATTTGATATGATCAGCAATAGCACATTCAAGGAATGAGATTTACTCGAGATTGTAGTATTTTGAAGTCGGCTGAAATTTATTCCTCGACTCTGACAAATCAGTCAGAACTTTAGGGAATACTCTTGAGGACGTGGTGACAGTCGGTGCAGAAAAGCTGGACTTGGCAGTTTCTTTCAGTCTCCTCCACTGCATCTTTGTTGTCAAGTTTGTACAAGAAGCAGTATATGGTTTGCAGCTTTCACAATGGAAGCACTCAACGTCACTGTTCATGACGCATCTTTTTGAAAAATTGCGCAGATTGTTGCAAATTATGCAACATTTGTTTACCAGACACACAGACACTTGAACAATATCACAATACAATACAATAACACTTCAGACATTTCAAACAGTTCTGTTATTAATTAAATAATTAACTTGTAGTATATTTTTTTTCATAACACTGCTTTCCAGTCCATTTCTCTATTATCAGAAATGTTTATTAAATAACCTATTCTTGTTTCTAGGATGAAGATAATCCTAGTCCAGAATTGCAATCAGTAGAGCAAGGAATTGCAAATGAAGTGAGTGTTGTAATCGTAAGATTGATTATAATACTTATATGCAAAAAATAATAATCTTAGATTATCTTCATTTCCTGTACACTCTATTAATGTTTTTAAACATTTGCCTACTCTTAGTTTTGTTTTATAAATGTCTTGTGCTTATTTCTAGCATGAAAATAATCCCAGCCCAGAACTGCATTCAGTAGGGCAAGATAAAGCAGAAGAAGTGAGTGTCTTAATTTCATAATGAATCATATGTTTGAAAAATTTCTAATATTCCATATGGAAAGGGAACCATCTTATTCATTACCTTGTATTTGTTTAAGTTTGTCTGTTAATTAAATAACAACTTTGTAAGATCTTGAAGCGTTTTTTGAACACGCTTTTGATGTTTTCAGTCATTTCTCAATTATCAGGTCTATGTTTTAAATTTGCTATACTTGTTTCTAGGATGAAGACAAGCCCAGTCCAGTATTGCAATCAGTAGGGCAAGAAAATGAAGATGATGTGAATATTGTAATTCTATGTTTGAAAGTTTGCTACTCTTCCACGTGAATAGGGATTTATTGTGATCTATTAGAAGTGTTATATAATGTATTATTTTACATGTGTATTAATAGTACTTTATGCAATTAGATTATAGGCCTAATGTTAAATGTTAAGGTTTATTGCACGAGTTCATGTTTTGAAAACAACATTAGGAGCGAGTTTTCAAATTTGTATGAATACAATTAAGCAACATTATAAAGGAGATAATTACGCAATTTTTTTTATATAACAGCATTATAATTTTATAAGAGAATCAATTTTGTGAAACAGCTTCATTGCGATGTCTGGGTATTTGATATCTATGCTTGAAAACTGTGGTCAGATGTCACGTTCAACCTTACCCTCTATAATTCTCTCACTGCGATTGGTTCACCGTATGCTGCTGCAATCATTAGTGCCAGAGAAAGCTAACACATGATAATTTGTGCTGTATAATGCGCAATTAATTATGAATGATTTATTGCAACAGAAAAGATCGTAAATAATTCTTGTATTCAAAAAATAGTAATCTTATATTCTCTTTGTTTCTGAACACTGTATTTATGTTTTCAGTAATTTCTCAACTACTACTACTACTAGTTTTTTTAAAATTCTGTGACCTGTTTCTAGGATGAAAATAATCCCAGTCTAGATCTGCCTTCAGTAGGGCAAGAAAATGCAGACAAAGTGAGTGTCATATTTCCATGTTGAATATTGTTAACTACGTTTTAAAATTTGCTAATATTCCTCATGAAAAGTGAACTATTCTTTTACATTATTATGTAAAGTGTAAATTTGCTTGTTAATTAAATAATAATCCTGTAGTATCTTTTCTTCTGAGCACTTACTTCGATGTCTTCAGTAATTTTTCCATTATCAGATGTGTTTTTCAAACACCCTGTGGTTGATTTTAGGATGAAGATAAGGTCTGTCCAGTATTGCATTCAGAAGAGAAAGTAAATGCAGTTGAAGTAAGTGTCACAATTCCATATTGAATTATTTTTAAATACATTTGGGAATTTGTTAATATTCCTTTGAAAAGTAAATTACTTGTTTTTAAAATCATGTAATGTATAATTTTTTTTTGTTAATTAAATAATAATCTTGCATTATCTTTCTTTCCTAAACACAGCTTTTAGTTTCTTCATTTGTTGTTGTATTATGAGATCTGTTTTTTAAGTCCCCTGTGTTTATTTCTAGGATGAAGAGAAGCCCAGTCCAGTATTGCAATCATTTGAGCCAGAGAATGCTGATAAAGTGAGTGGCTTAATTTCATATTGAGTTATTTTTAAATACATTTTGGAATTGGCCTCGAGAAATGTGAACTCTTCTTTTGCATTATCGTGTAATGTGTAATTTTTCTTGTGAATTAAACGATAAATTTGTAATATATTTGTTTTCTGAACAGTGCTTTTGATGTTTTTAGTCTTTTTTCTATTATCAGATGTGTTTTAAATGCCCTGTTCTTGCTTCTAGGATGAAGACAAGCTCAGTCCAGTAGAGCAAGAAAATGCAGTTGAAGTGAGTATCATAATTCCATGTTTGAAAGATTTTTTTTTCTAGAATTCCATGTTAACAGGGAACTATTTAGGTACATTAGAAGTGTCATATAATGTTTAAATTGATCGTTAATTAAATAATTTTCTTGTTGTATCTCTGTTTTCTGAACACTGCTTTTGATATTTTCAGTCATTGCTCTATTATCATATCAATTCTTTAAATGCTCTGTGCTTGTTTGTGGGATGAAAATACGCCCCATCTAAGACTTCCATTCAGTTGAGATAGGAAATCAAATGAAGTGTGAATCATAATTCTACGTTTTAAAGTTTTTTACTATTCCTTGTGAATTGAAAACTATTTTGATACATTAGAAGTGTTATATAATGTGTAAATTTGCTTGTAAACTTCATTTTGCGAAGTAACTTTATGTAGTCTTGGGTATTTGACCTCTGTCCATTTAGCAGTCCATTTACCTTTACCCACCGAAGATACTGTCATTGCAATTGGTTGGACATGTCATGGTGTAATCATATTTGCCGTATAATGCTAACATGTCATCTTTTTTGCCGTAAAATGCTGAATTAAGGATGATTTCTTGCACAAATAAGTTAGTTTATAATGCTTATATACAAAAAAATTGTAATCTTGCATTATCTTTGCTTTTTGTACACTCTATTCATATTTTTAGACATTTGTCTACAATTAAATCTGTTTTTTAAATGCCTGTGCTTGTTTCTAAGATGTAAGTAAGCTCAGCCCAGAACTGCACTCATTAGGGCAAGAAAATGTAGAAGTGTGTGACATAATTCGAAGTTGAATATTGTTAAATCTGTTTGAAAATATTCTATTATTTAATGCAAAAGTGAAATATTCATTTACATTATCATGTAATGTGTAATTTTGCTTTTAATTAAATAATCTTGAAGAATTTTTGTTTTCTGAACATTACTTCTGATGTTTTCAGGCATTTCTCTATTATCAGAGATTTAGATATTATTTGTATGGACCAGAAAAGCTTGAAAATGCAATTGTAGTGTGTGTCATAATTCCATATTGAATTTTTTAAATATGTGTTTGATTATTTGCTAATGTTCCATGGGAAAAACGAACTATTCTTCAACCTTATTATGTAATGTGTAATTTTTCTTGCTAATTAAATAACAATCTTGTAGTATCTTCTTTTTCCAAAGACCATATTTGAAGTCAGTCATTTCTCTTTTGTCAGACCTATTTTTAAATTCACTATTCTTCTTGCTAGTGTGATGAAAATCCCAAACCAGTATTGCAGTCAGTAGAGCAAGAAAATGCAGTTGAAGTGGTTGTCATAATTCAACATTTGAAAGTTTGCTAGTAATCAATGTGGATAGTGAACTATTTTGATTCATTAGAAGTGTAATATAATGTGTAATTTAAATTTTTTATTAAATAATATTCTTGTTGTATCTTTGTTTCTCCAAAACTGCTTTAGATGTTTTCGGTCATTGTTCTATTATCAGATCTGTTCTTGAAGTGCTTGTTTCTAGGATGAAAATAATCCTAGTTTAGACTTGGATTCAGTTGAGCATAAAAATGCAGGTTTTGTTAAGGACCTTTTTTGCCCGAAGATGTCACTGAATGTAAGAAAGCCCATTGTTTTAAAGAGGCCTCCTGAGAATTAAATTTTAACTGATTCTTACTATTTAATTGTAATAAAATTGAGAATTGTATTATTGACTAGAGAATTGCTTTAATGATGAGAATATTAAGACTTGTTGCTTTACTATCGTTTTTGTACCTTAAAATCCTCATCATGTTTTTTGTCACTACCTTCATCTTCACTTGTGTCAATGTTCCCTTCAATCTACATGCCCTGCCGTGTTGTGACATCTGACTTTAGGCCCTCTGAATGTTTTGCGCAGGGAATTTTTGTTGTGTCATGCATCAGACGCTTCCTAAGAACAATTCCTTCTGGGTCACCAGATTTACTATCTGTCCCATACATGTTACATTTCATTTGATACAATGCTGTTCAGTTAAATTCTCTCATTACTGGTCCATTCAATAATATTGATCAGAATTGCTTGTCAAATTCGCAGTGAATGCCAAGAATACATTCTGCAATATATTTATTGTAGATAAATGCAATATTTTTACAGTCTTTGCAGTGTTTTCTTTTGCCAATATTTACTTTTGTTCTCAAAATATCTAAACCCTAACAGACTGAGCTTAATTTGTGATTATAAGACAACTACACATTTTTTTTACCGAGATATTTAGGAAAATACTGTCCTATATCTGAGGCAGCAAGGAACGTTTAAAAGAATGCTACTATTCCATCTGGAAAAGGAACTATTCTGTTACATTATCATGTATCCTGTAATGCACATTTTTGCTGGTTAATTAAGCTTGTGTTACCTTAAATAATTATCTTGTTTTATCTTTTTTTTCTGAACACTGCTGTGATGTCATTAGTTATTTCATTATTATGAGATCTGTTTTTTAAGTGCCTTGTGTTTATTTCTAGGATGTCACTAAGCCCAGTCCAGTACAGCAAACAGTACAGGAAGCATGTGCAGATGAAGTGAGTGTAATAATTTCATATTGAATTATTTTAGAATATGTTTCAAAATTTGCTAATATTCTATGTAAACTATTCTTTTAGATTATTGTGTAATGTGTAATTTTGCTTGTTAATTAGTTAATTGATTCATTCATTCATTCATTCTTTCATAGTATATTTGTTTTTGAACGGTGCTTTTCATTCGTTCAGTCATTTCTCTAATAATAATAATAATGCTATTTCACAGGCAATCACTTAATTAATACATACTAGTACAGAAGTTACAACGATTCAAAAATATACAAAAGAAAATAAATAGGGGACGTTCTTTGTGAAAATGCCCAACAAAATTTCGATGGATTGGAAATCATGAAAATAATTATATTTTTAGATTCAGCATGATATAAAAACGAGGAAAAAATTGTTGGATTTTTGGAATGTTATTTTTTATCCAAAAGTAATTAAATATGGTAATGATATTAATACATTTTCCTGAATTGTTCCATTAAAATATTTCAAGCTATGACTGTATACATAAAGTTTTGTCTAATATTTTTTTAACACTATCGATTGTGGAAAATATGTCATCATTCTCCCCCCCCCCCCATTTTTAGTAACCAAAATACTCCTAGATTCTTGACCTTTATGCCTATAAAATTTCATTCTTGGTCATTGAATGGGTTCAGAAGAATGAGCAAATTTTATGGCAAAATTGGTAATGATTTTTTTTATCTGACAAAATTATTTTTTATTGAGGAAATGATAGGTCCTTAACAATGTTTTGCTAATTTTTGAACTTTCAGCTTCTAGCTACATTTTACTTGAAGGAAAAATCTACATCTTCAATTTTGTAATAGTAGGAACAAGCCAGAAAAGTTTCCACTTTTGAAACTTTTAGATTATTATGTAATGTAATTTATGTAAATTAATAAATTATGTAATTTTGTTTGTTAATTAAATAATAATCCTGTAGTATCTTTGTTTTCTTATTTTGATGTCTTCAGTCATTTCTCCATTATGAGATGTGTTTTTGAAACACCCTGTGCTTGATTTTAGGATGAAGATAAGCCCTGTCCAGTATTGCATTCAGTAAAGCAGGAGAATGCAGATGAAGTGAGTGTCATAATTCCATGTTTAAAAGTTTGCTAGTATTCCATGTGAACTACTGTGATACATTAGAAGTGTCATATAATGTGTACTTTTCCTTTGCCTTGCATTGCCTTTGTTTTTCAAACACTGCTTTTGCTTTTTTAGTTTTTTTCTCTATTATTTGATTTTTTTAAATCTCGTGCTTGTTTTTAGGATGAAGATAAGTCTTGTGTAGTAATGCAGCCAGTAGAGCAAGAAAATGCAGATGAAGTGAGTATCATATTGAATTTTTGCTAAATACGTTTCAGAGTATGCTTAAGTTGCATGTCCAAAAAAAAAAGAACTTTTCTGTTACATTATAATGTACCATTTAGTATGTTAGAAATGTTTTTTTATGAATGAACAAGGAAAGTCATGGGACGGTTTGGTTCGGTGAAGTATGCAGAGGAATTCTTTTACAGCAATAATTTTATTTCAAAAACTTCGTATGAAAACAATAGTTTAACTTGAGATTTCACTTCTCTTTTCCCCCTTATAAACTGTTAAATAGGACGATTTGTCTCGTGAACCAATAGTGTTTAACTATAAGCATAATATGCCCGAAGAGCCAGAGTTGTGTATCTGAAAAACTTTATCACTTTTTCAATCCGATTTTTCTTATCTCCCCTACCTACTGGCCAATCATAAGCTCAGACGCATGTATCTTAAAAAGTGATGTATCAACCACTGTGTGCAATAAAACATGTGCGCATATAATATAACCTCTTTGATTTTAACATCACTTTCAGTTAATTTCAATAGTAACAACATAGCAAGATGCGGTGATGTGACTGATGACCAAATCGATGAAGTAATTCATGAAGCTACTCCAGAAAACAGAGAAAAATAGAAACTATATTTGGAATTGGTTCCTAAAATTCTGCGAAGAACAAAGTCACATTCTAAGTAAATATATTCCTACTCAAGAAATATGGAACATTTTGGCAGATAGAACCATCAATTTGCGTGAATGGTAAAGAATACAAGTAGTATTCAGTAAAGACAATGTGAAATGTGACTGCACAAGTTATACAAGAACATTGTTTTAAACAGAATGGAAGAAACTTCAACTCATTTACAGACCAAGAATTTAAAGGGCTAGAAGTGTAAGAATGTGCAGAGAAGAAATCTTCAAAAAATTCAAGAGAAAAAGTGAGTGTCACACTATTAAAAGATGAAGAATACCAAAGAATAATTGATCTATGTGATGAAAATACACATACAGGTTTGCAGGTAATTTTGTTTCTTCTAGCATCCTTAGAATTGGCTTGGCATGGGGGAGACGCTGCCAATTGTGTAACGCAATATTTTCAAGATAAAGTTACCAACAACATTGAACCGTCAGGAAGAATTGTGTACAATACAATGTTCACTTAAACATGCCAAGGAGGTGATAGAAAACAAATGGACATGAAGAGGCTCATAATGTTTTTCTCCTGACAAATGCCCTGTCATGTAATAAAATTTATTATTACAGAAATGTGCTGAAAACATAAAAATTGATCATTTCTTCTTAACCTCTAACCCATCATACATGACAACAGGAATATGATTAAAAAATATCCCCATAGGATTCAGTGAAATTGCAAAATGGGCAAGTGCCTGTACCCAAAAAACTGGTTTGCAAACAAAAATAAAAAAGTTACGAAGTATTGTGCATGAACTACTGTGGTGTCTCGCTTGATTCAGGAAGGACTACAAGAATGTGAGGGAATAAAAAATTACAGAACATGCTACTACATTATCACTGAAGCACCTGTAAATCACCTACCTACAAATCAATGAGCAACACCATTCTGTTATCGCAAGTACATTTATCATCAAATACATCAGATTCAGAATCCAACATGATTGTGAAGGAAAATAACGAAGTTCCTTGAACATTTAATTTTAAAACTTGCATGTTTAATAAAAATATTTTTCAACAGAAAGAATATATGTTTGTTACTTTATATTTGTATACATATATTTTTATATTTGTATTACTATATATTTGTTACATCAAAAGTTTGTTTTTAAAGGAAAATAAACAAACTTTCATGTCATCATCTGTATATTCATTAGTTTATCTCAATTTTGATTGCGTGTCAACCACATGGTTTAAATTTGCCCATCTGCTATATTAGCAATTAGCCTTGGTAGAACTAGCGAAGTATGAAAGGTAATTGAATAAAGTTCATTATTATTTGGCACATTTTGGATCTCTGTTGGACATAATTTCTTATGTGGAATACTCCTATTAAATACCACTTGTGCTTTGGAAATTCTCAGGATTCCCTCCTTGCTCTACGAGTCAAGAAGTTATTGTATTTCCGTGAAATCACCTTTGATAATTAACAATAAAATTCTTTCAAGGTGCTCTGGAGTGACTACCTATAACTATTACTTTTATAACTTATTTATATATTTACAGTTGGGAAAAGGGTGCCCTATGCTTAACTCTCAAAAGGCCAAAAAAAGGTTAATAATAATTTTGAATTTACATTTGAATTTAATTAAGCTGCAGATTTTTACCTATTTTCCGATTTTTTTTTCGTTGAAATAAAAACACTATCTATTAAGATAATTATTTACTTTGGGGCATTAGGAGTGTTACATGCGAATTTTATAATGTGTATTTTAGTAATAAATGCCTAAATGTTGCTTATTTTCATATTTATTGATCCAAAAATTAGACCTTAATAAAAAATAAAATAAAATAAATTGTTTCATTTTTATTCTGCAGAGAACAGGGAACAACTATTGATAAATCTATACTGTTTTACTACCATCACAGTGTGTTTTTCGTATTATGGAACGTGTACAAAACCCCTGGTGTAATCAAATTATTTTTTATTTTTATTCTTTAAATAATTTTTTACTCAAAAAGACTCCAAACTACTTTTTAAATTTTTTCCTTGTATGTATCAAAGGACAATATAAAAATTGGTGCTGATCCCATTTTTCCCAAACTCTGCATTTTTGAAAATCGCAAAAAAATATTGCGAAAGTAGAATATTGAATTAAGA